AGGATGGTTACAGGTTCTACCTCTAACCACACAACTCATCGAAAAGACCGTTGTAAAATGGGGATAGGAGGTTTAGTCATCTTATAGAAAAAGACATTAGGTACTCATTTTTGGAATATATAAGCAACAGAGCATATGGCAAATGGCATCCGGACTAAGCTTAGGTATGCTGGTTCCGTAAAAGTTGACGATGCTCATTCAGTGATTGTTTGTGGAGACCTAGCTTTAGAACAGCAGAGTTCGATAATCCTGAACGGTAAAACACTTGAATCGAGGACAGAAGGAGGTGATGTGTTACTATTAGCCCCTTTATAAATCTATATACACCTATTGACCGGAGGCTCGGCGAATGCCCTGTTAAAACCCTCTACGAAATGTCATCTGACCATTGCCCTTCTGCTGGAAGTTGGTAATAATTTTCTGGTCGATCAACTAAATTAGTAAACTAATTAAGTTCCTTTTAAAAAATCTGTGAGCGACCTTCTACCTCTCTTCCCCTATCCACCATGTTATTTCCTAATTTAACAAGGCTACTTCTGTTTTACAAGAGTCCGTTGTCAAATCTCTAAAATGCGCAATCTCCTTTAAATTCTATAAAAACTTTAAGCTTAATGTTAAAGGACGCCGTCTCCTATTTTATTCTCATTGTGCATACCTGACATATCATCCCGTACCGCTTACACTTCCTTGGCGTTGTATGTCAATGACACTATATCTAGAGCAGATCAAAATCTCCCTCTCTTGCAGATAAGTAAATGCATTCCGGCATAAATCTTTTAAAGCTTGGTAAACAATGTGGAAAGTAACCTTTAATTGTTTAAGAAGTCACACCACGTGTGGAAAAAAAAGAAAGAAAGAAACAAATACTATAAGAATTAAATCTTTTTTATATTCCCCTGACCTAGAATAATCAAGCTTATACCTCCGTGTTATTTTTATAACGAATTATTTGGAAGACCTGCAAAGAACTGGTTATTAAAATTAAATACACGACACACCCTTTTTACTCGCTTATATACAAAAATAGTGTCCTTATCCTTGAGAATAAATTAATTATTTACAAGGCTATCAGTAGCTCGAGTCTTTCCTTGACCTTCAACATAGATAGACTGCAATTTATGCAGTATAACTCTTCAAAACTGTTTCCAGGAGCTCCTTGGCATATAAGACTCTCACAAATACATCGTGAATGCGACCTGCAATTATTTTATAAGTATACTAAGAGCTTAGCTGAGCAATGCATCGAAGCATCTGATCATTGTGACGGATTACTAGCTAATTTCCTAAATTATAATCCCTCCCATTTTCCCAAATTTAGAACAATGGAACACGCCTTACTATGTTAGATAATTAGTTGCAAGATTTTCTTAAAAAAATTACATAATTATGATGAAAGTGGTAAAAGAAACAGTGATAATATTGGTAATAGTTTTAATTAGTAAAAATAATATAATTAGTGATAATATATATATTGATAATATAGTCAATAATAAAAGCGATAAAATATATTACGACAACTATGATAGTAATTATGACGTATTAATAACAACGGCTATACAGTAATAGAGTCGTAGTTTTATTAAGAAATTTCTTTTAATTTAATCTAAAACTCAGTAAGGGCTTGACCTTTATGACCTAAAACTTTTTTAGAAGGTAATTTTCCTTTTTGGCAGTTTCATTATATAAACATGGCTTTTGGAGGCAGCACCTTTGCAAGGAGAGAGCCCTCCCGAACCCTCTAACCCTCTAATTTAAGGAACTGTATGTTAGGGTATTTAAACCCCTTTACTGAGCGGTACCTTAACCTTTATGCCCTTTAAAATTAATTGTAAACAAATTATATATATAGATATTCATGTGTGGCTAAAACAAAAAAGCACTAAAAAAAAATTAACAAGGCTGCCCGTTTACTTTTCGGGAATCTTCATTATATATTAACAACTAAGCAATGAATAATCAGTAGCAATAGTAAAATTCCTAAAAATGGTAATTTGCATTAAAACTTATGAACTCTTTTCCTCAACACTGTAGATTAAACCGTTTATGTTATTTTACTCATAACCACTGTATGCCAGCGCATTAAATAAATAACTATGTAAATAAAATAAAAAACTCGTATAGCATGCCAATGCAATAAATATATAAATACAAACAATATCAACCTCAGTTTCGTTCTGCGTTCTTTCTTTAAGGCTTTGTTATAATACGCTTTTGATTAATGTAGTACCCAATTGAGTTTAGTTATGAGGAGCAAAACTTCCACTCTTATATTAAGAGCATATTTTAGTGCCTATGTACTCAACTCTATCTTGAACAACGAATGAGGAACGATATATATTAATTAAAGCCTCTTAAAGAGTTTTCGTATATTCTTGTCCTTTGTAGGTAGCAATGGCATCCGCAATTTATTCTCTCCAGCTTAGTTTTAACTGAGAAAAAGCTTGTAAGAAAAATTATATATAATTTTAAACGCTGTTAAAGTTTTTATTTTTTTTAATAGTGGACGCTTACTTTAACGATTAAAAAAATTTATATGAGGGTTATCAAAACACCCTTCACTTTTCATTTATTTGCCTGCTCCTTTTAGTTAACTTCCTTTCTTTAAAGCATTTTATATAACTTAATATGTAAATATACGGTCCACACCCAAATCTTTGTACTAAATTGTACATTACTTTATTTGTAAATTATACATCTAATTTAATTTACTAATTCATTCTCTCTCTCTATATTATTAATAAATAATAATGTTAAATATATATTATGCAATTATAAATTCCCCCTTTAACGTTAACGAATGCTGACAACCATTGACCCCCACCAGACCCCGGCCGTTGCTGGATTTAAAGTGCTGTGAAAGTGGCTTCCTACACTACCATAACGACGCATGAGTTTCACTACAACCCTGGCCGCCTGATGAACTAAAGGAGAGTATCTGTGAGCGCTGCCACCTCACGGCGCACCAAATAGAGCCAAATCGACTGCATCGATTGCGTTAGAAAAGAGTTTTTACAGACTAATAGTTGAGTTAAATCTTGATGGCAGTGACGACGATCGCGACTGCTTCTGGCGCTTAACTAAGGGCCACCAAGATCGCGAATGTTTGCTTCTGTCCCCTCTGCGCAGCTGCAATCGTGTGATCGTAGCCAGCGCAGACAAGGCGAAACTTCTGTGTGGGTATCCTCGAGTGTGAACTGCTATATTCAAATGGTAACAACGACAGTATTTTCTTTAAGTGCTCTTCATGGTTCTAGATGGTTTTGTTAACTTGTGTTATACGTAGTAATTAATATATAAGGATGTGTTAAATACTTTAGCTTAGATACACAGATCAAAATCAGCTTACTCATAAAGACATAAATTGCAAAGTATGACAATACAAAAATTAACCTGTTACAACAGATTGAAAAAATTGTACTAAATATAACAATAACAATGTCAAATATTAGTGCATCTATGAAAAATAAGAAATGATGGCCAAATTAATAATTCAAGCCATTATATATAGGGACACCCACTTAAAATCAATCAAGTTTTTGTCTTTAAATTTTAGGGCTTCTGAAAAAAGGCGCTTATATGAACGCGAGAGCACCTTTCAAGTTTAAATACAAATTTCAAAGGTAATAGCAGAAATAGTCCTCTAAGTCCACGCTCTTCCAAACTGAGTTTATTTTTGTAATAACTTGTGGAAAGCGCAAATGCTCAATAAAGTTAAACGCTGGCTTTTTGTTCTTTTAATAACTTCACTTATTTTGCGTAGTTCATATTCAGTTTCCTAATCTTTTCAACGATAAATTTATAGTAGATGTTCTTAAAATAGTTCTCATGGTACACTAACTAGTATAAAAGCATGTTACCGTTTCCAAATTCACGTGGAACAAAAAAAGGGTCCAACTATTGGTATCCTCGATCTTTTTCTGTCTCTCCCCTCTTCTTGGTTTCTTCTTCCTGTGTGAGTTTGTGCGATTCTTGTTCTTCTTTCTTATCTATTTATATGTCGTGAGTTTTATAATAGTTTTAGTATGAATTTTTTGAGAGGGATTTTAATTAAAAACCAAAAAATTATGGGCAGTTGCAGTGGTGACGCCTGTAGTAATTTCTTGTCTTTTTACAGGGATGTCTGCTGATCTTCAATGGTTACTTTTACGCAATAATTCTTCGTTTTTACGAAAATATAACGGAGTTACTTTTAATGCTGAGCCTAATAATTTGACTCAGTTGAATTCTTTTAAATATTCTGGTCTTGTTAATAAAAAGGTATAATTTTTAATTAATAACCGCTTTTTTGTGATGACAACGCAAAAAGTTACCAGTTCTGCTTCATAAATTAAGTTGCTGAAAAATTGCGTTCTGATACTCATATTTTTATCGTTATTATTGTTTGTTTAATTCTTATAAGGTTTTTAAATTTTTTTCCATATTTATATGCTTTTGATAGGTGATTATGGTGAGCCCAGCTACTAAGGGAGTAGTTCTCTCTCTTTCAACTAAGAAAAAAAAAAGAACTATTTCCAAACGTTTTTCTAAAATTCATTTTAAGCGCGATCCTATTCGTACTCTTAATTCGATTCGGAATGTCTTAATCCACCAACGCCACAGGCCTGACCTAAAAAGAGCTGCTCTTAGGCGTGCTACCGCTTTGTATGAAACACAGGCACGGATAAAATCTATGAATGCTAATACTAAATAAACATCTTACTTGACTTTTTTTTTGTATAATTGCTTTTAGAAATTTACAAGTATAATTTTTAAAACTGCAATTCTTTAAGTGAGTTGACCATGAAAGTTTATTTTTATTAATTAATTTTAAGTAGCCTTAATTTTTTTAAGAGGTTCTTTTTAATAATAATGCCGTAAAACTTTATTTTATGCATTAAATTGTTTTATAAGGAAAACTGGACATTTAATAGTAAGAAAAATGTGAGCTTTGCCTTAATCTTAAATGTAAAGGGTTGTAAATTTATAAGGTTCAGTTGTTATACATTTTATTAATAAATTTTGGTAGATTTATTCCTAACTGTAACTTTTTCATACGTACGGGGAGGTAAGAATTACGTATAATACCGGAAAGAAAGGAATTATAATTATACCTAAAAATTTAAAATTAGTTTAGATTAAAAAAAATTAGTAGCAAGTTATTACATCATCTTCAACTGTAAACATAATTTCCTCATCGTCACCTTCATAATCAGCTTCGTTAACTCTAGTGTCTGCAGGAATTTCCCCGTAGGCTCTCAGATTGCGAGCTTCTTCCACGTTGTATTTTAGTATAACATCAGCCTTTTCATCCTGAAATTCTCGTAAACCCACTAAAATAATATCGCCGAGAGTAATCCAGATCTATTTTAAGATTTTTAAATAAAAACTATTAAAAACGACTAAACTATACTTTTTTCCTCATTTTTCCACGAATATGAGTTAAACGAGTAACACCATCAAAACATAAGGCTTCAAGACGGCCGTTGCCGAGCATTTTAACCACCTGGGCATACTCTAAAAATACTTTACATTATTTCAAACCAATATAATAATATATATAAGAATCGTAACAATATAAAATGTGAGCTGTAAAACTTGTAATTAAATTTCCACTTTTAAAAATAATAATTTTACAAAAAAAAATTATTTAACCTACAGAGAAAAAAAAATTGCAAAACAATCTACACAAGATGAGGATTGTTACGAGTAAAAACCTTGGCCATCCTCTTTAAAAACCAATTCTCGTTTTTCTTGTTCCTTTACATTCTTTCCACGCCTCCTATTTTTACCCCCTTTACCTTTGTTTTTCGGCATTTTTAAAAAGTATGTTTTTAATATAACAAAAACAGTTATAAATAAGAAAAACGAGAGATGCAACTAGAAACAAAATAGAAAATATAATTAGAGTGTGACGTTAGAGCGCGTGCAGTTAAAGTTGGCTTTATTTGTCCGTCGACGAGTGTAGCTGCAGTTTCTTTAGCGCGCATTCGTATCATAAAAACGCCAGTGTTTTTTGTGATATTATGTTATTTTTGAAAACTTTATTTTAATAAGAAATTTTACAAGAATTTATATAACTTTTATACGGACGATTTAAATTGGTTAAAAAATGTTATACAATATTTAAGGAAGCAGAATACACTTAAGTTTTTAAGGCGCACCTGCTATTTAATTAAAAAAACGCAGAAATTTTGTTGGAAATTTTATCAATTACTAAAAAAGTCATGAAAAAAATTTTTTTTTAATATTTTTTGTGCGAAAATTATTTTAACAAACATTTTAAAGGCCTTGTTAATTAGCATTTTTAAAAGGAAAGGTTTTCAAACAACGTAATAAGGTTTTCTATAAAGAAATGCAAAGGACATTAAGAATGAAAAGAGAAATTTTACTTCTTTCTTCAAACTCTGAGTTTATTTGCTGGCCTATTAATGATTCTCTTGATCATCTTCAAGCTGGTTTGTCATTTCCTTGATCTTATCTTTGAAAATGTAAAAGCAAAACTTTTGCATTATTAAATTAATACTAGACTTGTTCGGGCCTGCAGAATCTCCTTATGAAAACGGAGTATTCAGGCTTGATGTTATTATACCTGAGCGGTAGTTCATTCAATATTTCCACATAGTTTATTATAAAAATAGTTAACTATTTTAGTAGATTTGGTTTACACGTATTTAGAACAGAAAAAGCTATTAATTATTATGTATATATTTCTAGAACATTATATAATAGTTTTATAAACTATTGACTTTAAAGATTATAGTCGAGTTTTAAAGTTAACGGTATTATTACTTTATTTTTTTGAAATCTCTTTTTAAGAATTTTATATCAAACTTTAGTATTATTTTATTTTTATTCTTACAACTTCGGAAGATGAATTAATTCCTTCTATTATTAAAAGCTTTTTAATAGCTTCTTTTAATATTAACATATTAATGGCTTATAATCATAATTATTTTACGGTCCAATCCTTTATTATTAGTTTTATTATAAGTTTTTTCAAAAATTATTGTCCTCCTTGTTTTAACTATTTAATTTGTCATTCAAAATTTCTTAAACACTTATTGAGTAGCTTTTGCTTTTGTAACAATTTTTACCTTTTTTTCCCGTTTTTGTTTAAAGCCGTTATAAAAGTTTGTTTCATAATTTTATAAATTAATTTAATTTTTAAAAAAATTTGTAGAAATTAAAGTTTGTGCGATATTTTTATAACATTTAAACTTTTAAAAGTGTAGTTATAATATTTTTAAAAACTGCATCTAACGACTGCACTAGTATTTTAAAAGTTTATCTTTTATTAATAATTTTTTTCAAGAAGTTAAAAAAAATTATAATTGTTTATTTTTAATTTTTCCAGTGGCTTTGTTTATTTAAAAAAAATATATATTTTTTTATAAGATTTTTTTTACTTTTAAAGAGTTTTTTAATTATATAAATTTTTATTAAAAATTCAACTTATCATTATACTATCGTAAACAACTGTAGTACACTCTCAAATTTTTTTCTGCGGCATTGATATTTTAGATTTTTATTTTTTTTCGAAGAAAAGTTTTTTTATAAACATAATTTTGATTATTTAAATTTTATTAAGCTTTTTAAATTTGCTTTTGAATTAGGAATTGTTTATAATAATAAATAAATAAGGCAAGCTATCTTATTGTATATTATAAGTATATATATAAAAAATGCTTTTTATTAAGAGGCTTTGAACGTTATAATAAAATTTTTAATTTTTTGATTTAATAACTTTTATTTTAAGAATTAGTTCAAAAAGTTAAAGCAGCTTAGATTCCTATTAAAGTAGCCAGCGTTTGCTTTACTAACTAAATTTTTTTATATTTTTAAAGTAAACAATTATTAATACGATAACTTCAACGAGAAAATAACTTTTTAAAATTTAATTCTAAAGTAAATTAAATTTTTTTAAAAAAAACTTAACTGATCACTTTTTTTCTACACTTCACAAACTTTGCATTTTTCACACTTTTTGTAATATTCATTTATTGAAATGCGTTTACATTTACTACGATTGGCCGATACACTTTTCACGTTAAAAAAAATAATCATTTTTAAGTAATTAATTGTAATATATAACAAATAATAATAAATTTGATATTAATTTTTATATAAACATCCATTATTTTTGGAAAAGCTACGGAAGAAAAACATTTTTTTAAATAAAAGATAAGTAAAAAAGAAAAAATGCAATAAGAAATTAGTAAAAATAATAATTTTTAAACCTATTAATCTTCTGATTATTATTAGTTTTGTTATCGTATAATATTTTTAAACAGTCGAATTACATAATTTATTTCTACATGTTTTCTCATTTTATTTTTTTTATTAAATTTTATAACATTAACATTCTTATAAACTTAATATTATATATTTTTATTATTATAATAATAATTATATATTAAATTTTATATAAATAATATTTTGCTATATATAACTTTTTTCTTAATCCCGATGAAAAGCTACCCATTTGAGCCGCCCGTTGTGAAGTTTGTAACTCCCATTTACCATCCAAATGTGGATGAAGGCGGTCGCATTTGCCATGATATTTTCAAAATGCCTCCAAAAGTTTAAATTTTTTATTAATATATATATATTATTTATTAGTATTAATATAAAAAAATTAACTGCAAAACTTTAAAACTATTAAATATATTATTTATAAATAAATAGGATTATAATAATATTGAATAACTATTAATAAAAATATATTATGAAAAATAATTTTTTAACTTAAAAAAAAAGCTTATATATACTATTTACAAAAAATAATAAGTTTATTTTTTTTATACAGAAAAGTAATATACCAAAATTTTTCAATGTATTTTAGTAAATAATTTGATTATAAATATTATGAATAAACTAAAACTAATTTATGTATTAGTTTTAAAGTAAATAGAATTTTAATAGTTATAAATCAATCTTTTATTTAATAATGATTTCTAAATATTTGAATGATTCAAATATTTTTATATAAATAAAGAGTATTATAATTTATTATGAATACCTTTTTTTATAATGAATGACAATCATTAAAATATTGTACGATAAAAATCTATTTGGCTTCTTTTTTGTAATTATTAAAAAATATACTAAACTTTTATTTTTATAGTGCAAAAACTATTAAATAGATTTTGTTATAAAGAAATAGAATTATTAAATAGTACCGAATACCTTTTTTTTTAAATTGCTGAAAAAATATTTTTAAAAAAATTGACTTTTTTTTATTTTAATAAAATAACATACAATTTTTTTACGTTCAAAATTTATAATTAAATTTATATATCTATAAGATTTTTAGATGATTATAAATTACTTTTCTCAATATAAACAATTATATTACTGAATATTTGTATGTTAACTATTAAATAATTTTTTAATGGTTAAGTTTACGATACGTTTTTAATATCCGAGAATATTCCTTAAAATAATTTGTGTGCAGTGCGAAAGTCTATAGTAAGAAAAGCAACTTGCTACGTGTGGCCAGCCACATGTTAATATTTTTTGGGGAAATTTTTGAAGTTTTATTGAGAAATTTTATTTCGCGGTGTTTTTATTTTTTACGAACTGTGTCTGCTTTTGCTTATTTTACTGTTGCTTTTATTATAATTACAGTAGTTATATTTAAATCTTTTTTTAATCTATGCAAATATTTATTTCTAATAATACAATTTTATTTATTTATTACATTTTTTTAATAAGATAATATAGTTTAAAATAAAGAATTAAAAAATATATTAATATATTATATATTATATAATGACTTTTCATCACTTTTAAAAGTTTTAACTTTAACTCGTATTCATTTTTTATTATAAATAAAAATTTTTATTAATAAATAGTTAATTATATAAACTTTTTAAAGATGATGGACCACGGGACACTTAGTCATGCTTTTTAGTTTTCTAATTTCTTTTAAAAAAGATTGTATGTCTGTTTTATAAAGTTTTAAAGAGTATAAACTAATAAAAGGTAAATAAGAAATTTTATATTAACAACTTAAATTAAAAAGCTTGTAAATAATTTACTTCACATGAAATATTTTTTTAAGGGCGCATGGAAGCCGTCTTTAAATATTCAAGCAGTTCTTTTAAGCGTTCTACTATTACTGGTCGAACCTAATCCCGACGACGCACTGATTGCAGAAATTGTTATTGTTTTTATTATCTTTAATATTTATTTTTATACACTTAATCCGGTTTACTTTCCTGCTTATTATTGCATGTTTGTTCAATACTTATTTTTCAGGCCTCAGAATATAAACAAAGTAGAGAAATATATATAAAAAAGGCACGCGATTTTACTAATAAACATGCGCGGAAGATTTCAAATTTTTCTTAATAAAGAAATCTAAATGTTTTTAATAAATATTCTAAATTTTTTATTTAGTTATCATCTTTTTAAAAAGTATTTAATATATCCTCAATATTCTTGAATATATTTATTGAGACTTTAAGTTTTTTTTTTTAAAAATTTACATAATAGTAAAAGCAATAAATAAGTTTTAGAATATTAGGCAAACTAGCGTTTAAATGAAGTATAATATTTTAAAGATATTTAGTTAAAACTAAACGTTTCAGTTATTAATTTTCTTATAATTTTTATCATTGCGCTTTTTTTTTATATCTTTATTATTATTATTTAACGTCCATTCTAAGTTGTGTTTCTGATATACGCACAAATTCACTGCATCCGCTTTGTTCTAACTTTACAAAAGAGTCATCTAAACAATTACTGTGAATTAGGTAAAAGAAAATAAGAATTTTATTGATGAAGATTATTTAAACGGGGTGGTGTCGAGTACAATAATATTACTTTTATTTAGTGTATATGGAAGTATTAGAGGTATTAAGAACATGCATTTATCGAGTTTGAAGATTTACTTAGTACTAGGCTTGCAAGGATGTGGGTGCTACTGCAAGACATTTTAATAATATTAAAGTTGATATCAAATTTATAATGGCGAGTACGTATTATACCTGTATTTAGTGTATATGGAATAACAAGAGAATTCAAGCATGTGAAGTTGACGAGTACAAAAAAACTTGATATTTAAAAAATTCTGCAAGCTGAAGTAGTAAAAAAAATATATTTTTTGAATGGTTTACGTGAGTACGTTATATAACTTTGTGCATGAAAGAATTAAAGAAAAAAGTACTTAGGTTAACAATATTAATCCGAAAAAGGAATGCTTCATAAGCTAAGCACTGAATTATTCAAAATGGTAGCAGAGTCTAGAATCTATGTTAAAAAGCGAGAAAACCATGATAACTGCCTATTTAGAGGTAGTTTCTACTTGGCACCATGATTCCTAGTTCTAACACAGTGAACTTCAAGCAAATATAGAGACTCAAAATAAACAAAATAGTCAAGTCTGCCATGTTAGGTCGGTATATAACTACACTAACGGCCCGGGAACGGGACATAGTGGTACTTTTATTACTCATTATAGGACTCAGATATGGTCCTCGCTTTCGTAAAGAGCAAAGTACATGATGTTTTGTATTTCTATACTGACAAGGACGTTAAAGCTGGCGCAAGCTAAAAATAATAAGAATCTGTATTAATTTTGGTATAAGTGAATAAGTTTGAGTACGAGTCTTAACAAGTAAATGGTAGGACAGGCATTTTATTCTAGTAAAATGGCTAATAAAAAGAACTTCAAATTTACTATTCACACAGTTTTTTATATAATCTAACAATGCATTTGCATCACTGTTATAAACCGGAATATATATCAACTCAAACATTAAGCTAATATAGAAAAAGTTTTCATGCAAATATAAATATTTTTATTGAAATCTTTATTAATTATAATTTTCATCAATCTTTAAAAAAATAAATTTATAATTTACTGACCCCAAACACGCACGGAACGATCTTTACTGGCCGTAACAAGACCGTCCGCCAATGGCCGGAACTTAACAGCAGTAATCTCTTTGCTGTGGCCGCGGAGCGTTACGATTTCGGGGAGTTGGCGTGTCATGAAGATTCTGAAATAATAAATAATAATGTTGAAATTTAAAATAAAAAAACTTTTTACAAAAAAAATATTAAAAACACAATAATAAAGTTTTAATTTATTAAAAAATAACAAAAAAATTTAATAGTGTAAGAAAAAAATAATAAAGTTAAAGAAAAGATATAAATATAAAAGTATATAGAATTTTTAATAATTAAAAATCGAACTTAAGAAAAAGCTAATATTTATAATACAAAAAATAATATATTTAAAAAAAAAGGTTTAATAAAAGTTACAAAACTTATTAAATTATAAAAAATAGTAAATATATAACGTAAATAATAAAATTATAATAACAAATAATAAAGTTAATGAAAAGAATTAAATAAAGTAATAAAATAAAAATTTTATATAAAAAATATAAAAAAATAATAAAGCTAAAGAAAATGTTCAGATAAGATAATAAAAACTTATAAAATAATAAAAAAATTACTAGCAAAAGTTATAATAATTAATAATTAAGATAAAGCAAATTTAAAATTTTAATAAAAACTTTACTAAGAAAAAATAATAAAGTTAAAGTTAAAGAAAAGATAATAATAATACAATAAAAAATAAATATAATAAAAAATAAAGAAAAAGGAAAAAAAAGATGAAGTTGAAGAAATAAATTATATAAAATGATAATAACCTTTATTTAATAATAATATTTAATGAAGTTTACTTGCTGTTATTTGGATAATAATAAGAAAAACTATATTAGCACAATAATAAAAACAAAAGTAAATAATGTTATAATAGAAATTATTAAAAAATTTAAAGATATATTCAGAGAAAAATAGTAATTATTATTATAATAAAGAAAAACTTAGAAATTTAAAAGAAAAGCATAAAATTAGAAATATTAATAATAGAAATTCGTAAACAAAAAAGTAAGAAGATTTACATAATAAACTAGCAAATAATATTAATTAAAAAATTTACTTGATATACTTATTAGATAATAATATTAATAATAATAATAAAATTTAGAAATAAAAACAGTTGGCACAACAAAAAATCCAAAGAAAACAATAATTATAAAAATTAATAATTATTAAATGAATAAAAAAAAATTCATAATATATTTAGCAGATAATAATAATAAAAAATAAGAAATAAAAATTTACTTGACGTCTTTAGCGCCACCAATAGCAAAATATGTTCCAGTAGAATCAAAAGAAATGCAGGACAAGCCAAAGGAAGAGTCTTCCAGCTCAATATTTTTGTATAACGTACCTGAATTTCAAAAGATAAGAATTATAATAATGATATTATATAAAAAATATAATAACATAAAATATAATTAAATAATTGAAAAAGAAAGAATTAAAGATTTAAAAAATTTGAAAAATAAAAAGTCTTTCAGCTCAATAAACTTGTAAAAAGCTCCTGAATTTCAGGGAAACATAATGAATAAATAAAAAAGAATTTAATAAATTATAAAAATAAAAAAAATAATATAAAACATAAAAGTTTGAAGTGTTACTGTTTATTATTAGATTTCTTATATTTTAATTAAAAAAATTAAATCTATAATAATTTTTTTTAATAGTTACTTAGAACTTTTTACTTTTTATTATTGTACTCCCATTAAAAAATATACAATATAACAATTAAAAAAGTTTAAATAAAAAGAAAAATAAATTTAAATTAGACATAATAAAATAAAGTTTTTTAATAGTTACTCTTATAACTTTTACTAATTATACTAAAATAGTAAAAAGAACATTTTTATTATCATAAAAACCTTTATAATTATAAGAAATCAAAATAATATTAATAAAAGCATATAACAGGAAAATTATAAACATCGAAATATTATAAAATATATAAAAAGCAAAAATACTAAAATAAAAAATAAAAGACAATAAATTATTAAATAAAAAATTTATTAATACTAAAAAATAATATTTAAAATTAATAGATATATAAAAGGTTAAAAATAATAATAAAATATGAATAATTTTATAAAATAAAAGGGAAGAATAACAATATTAATAAAAAAATAATAAACGTACATAAAAATTATTAATCACAACATAAACAAAAAATATAAAAAATTTATTGAAATCAATAATTAAATATATGTAACAACTATAACAAAACATTAAAAAAATAAAAAAATAAAATAAAATACATAAAGATTATTTATAACAATAATAAAGATATTTATAATCAGAAGAATTATAACCAATAAAAATATATTTAATAATTATAAAATTAAGGTAATGAGGTGTAAAAAGATTAAAACTAATGTATAAATACCAATGATATAAATAAAAAAATATTGGAAAATACAGAAATTATTAGAAATATTAAATAAGAATAGTAAAAATAAATAAAGATAAAAAGAATTAGTATCAGAAAAAATAATATTAAGAGGAAAATATATTTAAAATAGAAATATATAAAAAATAGCAATAATTATTATAAATAACAATAACAATTATATATAATATAATAAATAAATTAAAAAAATAGAACAATTAATATGAAACATATAAAGTATATAAAAAATATATAAAAAATATACAAAATGAATAATAAACGATAAGAAAATATATCTATTATTATTTTAGAATAATAGATATATATATATTAATAAATAAAAATAAATAACAATTATTAAAAGCGAATATATAAAATATACAAAATAATAATATTTTATAAAAACAATATGCAAAATAATAGAAAAAAATAAATTATTTAATACATAAATAGTAAAATTATCAATTTAAACATTTATAATTAATAAAAATAAAAAATAATATAAATATTAATAAACGAATAATATTGGAAATCTATATATATATATATATATATATATATATATATAATAAATATAAAATAGATAATACATTAAAAATACAAAATAAAAGAGTTAAAAAAATTTATTACAAGAATATATATTAAAAGTTTACATATAAAATAATAATTAAAATATAAATATTATAATAATATAACTAAAAGAAAATGTATAAAAAGTACATAATAAATTTAAACATATATATAGTAAAAAAATCAATATAAACAAAATAAAAGAAAACGTAATAAAAGTAAAAAACGAAGTGAAATAGTTATAAATATTGAAAAAGTACAGAAATTAAAATAAATAATAAAAATGTTTCTATAAAATTATAATAATAAACAGAAAAAATTAAGCAAAACGAAATAATTTTTTTAAAATAAACTTAATAAAAAAAATATAAATGCAAAAAGATATACAATACAATATTATTTATTACTATAAAAGTTAAATAAAAATAAAAAAATAAAAAAAAAATAAGAGAAGTATTGCTCAATATAAAATAAAATAAATATAATATATATATATAAATGTTATAGAAGTATAAAAGTTAAATAGAATAATATATATAAGAAAATTATTTGATATAATAAAAAATAAATCTAATAAATATATAATAATGTAATAAAAGTTTAATAAAATAAAAAAATTAAGAAATTAAAAAAAATTAAATATAATAAAAAATATCATAAAAGTATAAATAAAGGAAGTTAATAAATAATACAATATTATACTATAAAAGTTTAACAGAATAAATAAGAAAATAAATTTTAAGATATATAAAACAAGAAAAATATAAATAATAAATCTATTATTATTATAAGTTTAATATATAATTAAAAAGTATATATCTACTATATAAGTTAAAAATAACATAATCAAAAAATAAATACACGAAGAGTGTAAATGAAATACTATTATTTATATTTATACAAGTTTATTATAAAATATAAAATAATAATAAAATACAATTAAGTATTGTAAATGTTAAATAAAATAAATATAAAAAAATATTATAAAAATATAAAATATATATAATACAATATTATCTATTATAAAAGTTTATTAGAGTAATAATAAAATAATTTTATATTATTAAAAGTTAAATAAAATAAATTTAAAAAAAAGCGAACATTTGCGTAAATCCCATAAACGAACAATATTATCTTCTCCGGAAGTTGCTAATAAATAGCCGTTTCCAGAAAAAGAAAGACCATTTACGGGACCCTTAAAAAAAGATAATATATAATAAAAAATAATATAACATCAAATAGTATAATATGACAGTAAAATAACAAGATTATAGACTGTAATAATAATAATAACAATAATAATTGCCTTATGCCCCTCGAAAGCCACGACTGGCGATGCGGTGCGGATGTCCCAAATTCTAACCATGCTGTCCGCTAATCCGCTGCCGTAGAGAATCCCGTCCGGGTGAATACTTCCGCAGTTAATACAAGACTAATAGTAATAATAACAATAACAATAACAATAACAATAATTAATAATAATAATAATAATAATAATAATAATAATAATAATAATAATAATAATAATAATAATAATAATAATAATAATAATAATAATAATAATAATAATAATAATAATAAACTTTATTGGGATCAACAGAAGTCTGATAAGTGGATTGGCGCGACAAATCGTGAAAGGACCAACTACCGGCCGAATCGCTGGAAGCCATTAAATCATTGGTTGGATGGATTGACAAGGAAGTAACTCCCTACAGTATATATTATTATTATCATTATAATAATTATTATATTATTATTACACTAAAGTGGCTCGTAAAAACATGAAGAAGTTTATCGGCACTTGTGGAAAATATTCGAACTTGTGCATCAGCGCTATATTATAATTATAGAACAAAAATTAAATAAACTTGAAAAAAATTAAAATATATTAAAGGAAATAAAATAAAACCGTATAATAATAAGAATAACAGGAAACTTTTATAAATCCTCATATTTTAGCCACGTGATTACACTGCTCTTAATTATATTTTTCCCAAATTTTTTATATTATTTATTTATAAGTTGCCTTACTACATAATTAAATTTTATGATTAATAATAATTATTTTCTTATTGCTTCGCCAGAAAAAAAAAACAGAAGTAAAAATAATAAATATATGATAAGATAATAAAAAGTGTAGTAAAAGAATATAAATATCAATTATAATGAAATATAGATAAATATTGAAAAAAAAACTATTTACCTTCCAGAGATAACCAAGTCTTGTGAAGGATGCAGTTCGCAGCAAGTAACTTTCTTAGTATGCCCTTTATAAAGAAATAATTGATAAAAGTAATATAAATATAAAGTGTACTGAAAATAAAAAAATATGTTATAGAATAAAAAATATATAAAAATTATTTATAATAATAAGTAAAAGGTAAAAGTTAAATAATATATACATATATTTAAAAAGTTTTTTAACAGCAAATTGTAATAAACTAATAAAAAAAGTAAATGACATAGTAACAGCACAAAGTTTCTCTTATAAATACAAAAGTATAAAAATAATCATTGAATAAAATTTATATAACTTTCGAAAAATTCAAATATTTTATATATTTTTTAAACTTAAAATAAAAATAATAAGAAAAAAAGAAACCATAAAATTTTATATAACTTTAAATGAAATAACAAATTTTTTAAAGTTTTTCTTAAAAACTTTAAAAAATTGTACTAAAGGAAAATTATTAAGTGACTTTTAGTAAATATAAAAATTAAGTTTTTATTAAACAATTTAAACTAAAACCAGAAAAAATAAAATTTCTAAAATAGAAATAAAAATTTTATATTCTAATTAAAAGTTTTAAAAAAACAAATATAAATTAAAATATTAATACCTATAATATTTGTATAAATAAACTTTAATAATAAACAAATCTTTAATAATAAACTTAAATATAATATTTATAATTGTAAAACAAAATATAATTATAAAACTAAAATTTCATAAATACATGTAAAAAGTTTTATAAAAAAAAAACTTTAAATAATAATGTAGGCAATAAAAAGGATTGTGTTTATTTATAATTTTGTGTAAATCGAAATTTAACGAATAAAAATAGAAAAGTAAAAGTAATAGTAAAAGTAATATTTTAATAATTTAAAAAATTATAGTAAAAACTTTAATAATAACAAATTTATTGATAACAGAATCAAAATAAAAAGTTAATACTTTTAAAAAATTTATAATAAAAACTTTAATAAGAATAATATTATATATATTTTAAAATATAAAATATGATAATATAAATCAAAATAAATAATACTAAAATTATAATTGTAGAAAACTTTTAAAATAATCATAATAGCAATTAAAAAAAAGCAGCCACCTTGATAAGTGTGAACCACCGAATCTGCAAAAATATCGTAAAGCACAACTTTCTTATCAACGCCTCCAGTAAGAATCCAGTTGGGGTGCTGATCGTGCAGCGATAGGCACAGAATTCCAGCAGAACTCGCACTTTTTTTTAATAAGCATATTATTCAATAATTAAAAGTAACAAGCAAAACAAGGAAAGTATTTTTCTTAAAAAACTCTAAAAAGATATAAAAATTAAAAAAATATTCACTAAACTATTAAATTTATAAAAATAACTAAAAAAAATTACAAGTATAAATTTTATACAATAACTTTTATGATAAACTTCATATTTTTATGGTACTAATATAGAAAATCTATGTAAATTGTTTATTAAAAATAATAATTTTTAAAAACTTAAAATTTTTTTAAATCATTTATTTAAATTTATTTAATTTTATGAAACTTTTAATAAACTTTATTAAGAAATTTAAAATAAACTTTTTATATGAATATTTTAATAAATTTAACGAAGCAAAACAATAATTATAAAAAATATTTAAAAAAATTCATAATAAACTAATAAAACTTAAAAAACTTTTCATATGAATAATTTGATAAATAGCAATAAAAACAATAATAATTTATATTTTAAAAATAAACAAATAATATATATAATTTATTAAATTATAAACTTTTAATATAATTATTATATAAATTTAAAAGTGAACAATAATGATCATTATTAAAAAAATGAAAAAATAATTATTAAAATATATAAAAAATTAATTTTGATATAATAATTCCAATATACAAGTATAATATTTATTAAAATAAAAAAAAATACAAAAAAAATTATTTAATTTTACTTATCAAATAATTTCTCTAATGAAAATTACTAAAAAAAATTATTATAAAAATATATAATGAAATATATAATAAATACAAAACGCTAATAGAATTTACTGAATAAAAAAAATTGAATAAAAAACAAAATTAATTTATAAAAAAAAAACTTTTTTAATAAATTTACTAATATATATTACTGATAAACAATAATACTACAAATATTTATAAATAGATATAAAAATATACACATAAAGTTAATCTAAACTGTAAAACTATAAAACTCTAATTTTACTAAAGAAAATATATAAAAACGATACAAAAGCAAATCTACTCTAAAAAATAAAAAAAACTTTTTTTAATTATGTTAATAACAAGTATTTTTTTGTACTGATGAGCAATAATAGTAAAATTATTTATAAAAGTATATAGAAAAGTCACAAGAAGTTAACGAATTTATAAAATCAAAAACTTTGTGTAAAAATTTACTAATAAAATAATACTGACGATCAATAATAATAAATTTTAAATATATATGTAGTAAAAGCTAATTAAATTAATAAAATATTTAAACTTTTTATATATTTTTACTATTAAAAATTAATAATTATGAAAAGTATAATAGTAATAAATCACAAATTAATAAAATATTTCGAAAAAGTATTGAAAACTTTAACAAGCTAATTAAAAGTAAAAATTTAGTTTTTTATGCAGTTTTAAAAAAGAATATTCCTATAAAAAATAATTATAAATATATATAACATAATTAAAATATACTATACATATAAAAAGTCTTAAAGGATGCTATTAGATTTTTGTAATTTAACTAAAAATGTTACTTAAAAAAATTAGTTTTTTTAAGTAGATTTAAAAAGGTGATTTTTACTAAAAAGTTGTAAGCCCTAATAAAAAATTTAAAATTTAAAATAAAACTTATATAATATAATAAATTTTGCAAAATACATTTTTCAAATAAAATTTAAGTTCTTATAAGATACTGATATAAATTATTATCCTAAACATAAAAATAAAAACTTAGTGACTGTCTAAAAATTAAAAAAAGCAATCAATAACTATAAAATAAGAAAAATATAACTAAATCCCAAAATTATTTTTATAAACTTGAGTAAAATATTTTAAATTTAAAAATAATTTTTACAAAACCTGTGAATGGAATAAAAATTGTTTTTTTCCTTAAAATAAGCTATTTTATCTTTTGTTGTTAAATCGGCTGGTTTCTTCTTTTCCTTACGTTCGGCTTGAAGAACTTCGCTGGTAGAATTAATTTTTTCGATGACATCCTAATAGTCAATAATACTTTAAACAACAAATAAAAGAAACTAATTTAAAAAAAATTATAATTTGTTAATTTCTCTTAACAAAAATAAATAAATTTATAATTATTTTGATACAATGAAAGAAAACTATTATATATACAACCTGAGGCATGTTCACGTGTTCAGAATTGTTAGACTTGTTTTCAATTTCCGTGCTGGTCTTATTTTTTTCCGATCCTCAAAAATAAATTATAACTACTAAATAAAAAATAGTAAGTTTCTAAGATTCACCTGCAGCAAGATTAGCTAAAGCATTCCTTGCTTCGTCCCTTTCTTTAGTTAGTCTAGCAATAACACGACTTAATAGAAACAATTTAAAAGAATATAGATATTAGTGATAAGCAATAAAGTAATTAATAAAAATACCAGGCCGCATCGTGCTGATATAGAGAGTGAGAAAGCTCCTGACGGCAAGTTTCTAGCTGTTTTCTTAAAGTATAAGTCTCTAACGCTACGGCATCATACTCATCTTGCAACATTTTAATTAAAGATGGCAAAGAGGCAGCCGCTTGAATATATAAAAGTAATTAATATACAGTTATAAAGTTATATAAAATGGGGTAAAACCGGAAACTCTTGGTCGAACGAAAGAATTAGTGTTAAGTTGAATTAGATCTTCTTCAGTAGTTTCCTGCCCAGTCACTGGATCTTTATGTAGTTCTTTAAGGTACTTCACAATAAGGCTTTTTTCGTAAATCAAACCGCTAACGCGGTTTATAACAGGAATCTGGGGAGGTTTCCCTGAAACTTCGTAGATAATGAGTCAAATCGAAATAAAAAGATAAAGAAATTAATAATTAAAAAAATTATGACATAAAATTTATATTACTTGCGCATGTTAAGCTCATGGCTATAGTCACTTCAACTTATAATTATAGAAAAACTCAAAATTAATACAATTATAATTGTATTTATTGATCCTGGACGGTATAAGGTAATGTTTGAGAAATTCGAAGGAAATACGATGGGAAAACTTTGTTAACTCAAGCCATGTGACTATTTAAGCCTTGCTAAGAAAAAATATAAAAATACCAGAAGCAAGTTTTTTTAGTTTTTTTAACTGATTACTGAGAATTAGAAAATAAATGTTCAATAATCTTGTTTCATTATTACATAAATGTTTGGTTATTAATAGATTAAATAATTAAAAGCTAGCTCTCATTAGTTTAGTATTTTTGTCTAATAGGTTTTAAAGTAGTAAAAATTTTTTTGTTGTTAACGAAAGTCAGTAAGTAAAAGCCGAAGTACTTTAATTTGAGACTTCTGTCTAGTAAGTGTGTATTTGTAGTGAATGCTATTTCTTTTGTTATTAGTGAAAGTAAATACAGTAATACATGGATTTTGTCTTATATTTGTGTATGTGTAGTAAATACTATTTTTTGGTTACCAGTGGAAGTAAGTTAAGTAAAAGCCAGAAACATTAATTCAGATATTTTGTGTTTTAATTGCGTAAGTGTAGTAAATAAGTAAAAGCTTGTTTACGTTACCTTTATCCTGTCAAGGTTACCCTTTTGAACTTTTTTCACTACATTAATACCTGTATATTTTTCAGATTCTTTATGTATTCGTCGATTAACTATCATAGTTTCTATTTTGTACTATTGCGTTCTGTTTAAAAGGACTTAAAATGTTATAATATATAGTTTTATTTTCTTCAAAAGGATGATTTGAGTTCAATGGATTGCACATTTTACGTGTTCAAAAACGGTATGATTGACGCAGTATTCGGTTGATATTATTGCTACGATTTCAGTGTTACGGCTTCGGCTCTAATGAATTACAAAGCCTTTTCTAAGTTCACGTACAGTTAGCATAAAGTTAGGAAGGTATGTCTTTAGTTAAAACATATTTGAATATCAAATATTAGATTGTCTTTGTGTCGTTATTTCCCAGAAAAAGATCTGCAGGAAAATTTAAATTTTCCTCAATGACGATGAGCCCACAGCTTTTGACAATATTGAAGAAAAAATTTTAAATTATTGTATGAGTCAGAAGCATTAGATACACCAGATGAAGTAATTGCTTCGAGCCTGGAGAGGATGGCCTAGGTATAGAAACAATGGTGTGAACCAAAGATAAGACTACAAGGTCTTGTAAGCCCTAATGAAAGGTGCTTTAGATAAAGTTATTCTTGTTAAAATAATAGAATCTTCCTTTATTCTTAACATCTTCGATTCGTCAACCTAGAATTTTCGGATTTTTAATTTCCACAATTTTTTAGGCAGTGAAAACTTTCTAAGCATTTTTTAGTCCTTACTGCTGCAGGACACAAATTACGAAATTTTGGGGAACGCCCGGCCTCCATTTTTCATTGCCCAGATAAGGCTTTGTTGTTTAAGCCTTTTGAGGTTATATTTGATGGTAATAGTAAAACAGAACTGGCTTTATTTATCGGATAGGTTTTAATGCAATTATAAGAAACCTTAAATTCCTGATAGTATTTTTGCTTTTGTTGATCAGTTAGTGTCAGTACAAAGAGTACATGTTTGCTAAGCCAGACAAGTATGGCGTGAAAATGTGGGATCTATGCGGTTCTGTAAGTTTTCATTTACTAAGGTATTTCGTATGTAGGGAGAAAAGGTAACATTATTAGCTTCTGGCGTAGTTTAAAGTCCAACAGAATCATAGTCCTGCAGATCGCAGAGTAATAGATGAAATTACTTTGCTGATTTTGAGTTAACTTCGTCTTAATTATTAAAAAGGATATAAATGGTTAGTGCTATAGAAAAGAATAAGAGATTCATCCCTGCTAGAATTCCTTTCCTTGAGCTTATTATAATTCATATGCAGTTAAAAAATAAAAAGTCCGTTAGTAACTGACACAAAAAAGTTTAGCACTCAGCTGTTTTGGGGAAGGCTCTTAGGATTTGTAGCTCAGCAAGAACTTTAATGGTAAATCTTGCAAATAACATTAATAAGAAAAATTTCACATTTTATTATTTCACACAGTTCGTAGTACCAAAAATTGATGCTCTGAGACATTTAAAAAAGTTTAATAGGGCGCAGATGATTTTTTTTTAAAAAAATTGTCATTTTTCAATGCTTTGAAGATTCTCTTACCTACGTTTATAGGAATTAACTATTTCTGGTATTATAGGTTAATCAAAGAGCATTATGTGATATTAAAAAAAAACTATGCAACCCAACTCCAACACCCAACTAACTTACGAAGACTTGAAAAAGAAGCATAAGTAAAAAAGGGCAAGGTATTATTAACTCTAGCCTTTTAGGCTATTACTTGCAACTTTCAGAATATGCAAGTTTTCCAACTTTTTTTGTAAAAGTCAATAACAACGATATATTTATTACTTTGCTTTTAAAATCTGTTTAATATGACCAAGTTATAAGCAAATAAATGTTAGGCAATGATTCTTGGAACCAAAAAGAAAATTACAAATACATATGTGCACAATGTAATTATAAAACAAATCTATACAATTTTTTTATATTTAAAAACAAACAAGTCGAAGGTTTTTGGAACAATTCTTTTGTGTAACAAAAAGAAGGTAAGTTTACTTTATTATTAAAGTATAACAAAGACAAATAAAAGAGTGAAAATTAAACAACATATAAAATAAAGGTTGCTTGCAAAGTAAATATTAGACATGACTTTGTAACTTAGTTGTTTTGTTCAAAGCTTACCTCGATAAAAATTTGTAATAGAGCTAGTATACGACGCCCAAGGCCTTAACATAAAAAAAAGGATTTTTTGTATTTTTCTGATGCTCGTCTATATATTAATTTGTTCTATTTTAAAAATTTATTCCTAAATAATTTTTAAGGTTGAGTTAAATAAATAGAGATATATATTAAATGCCTCCTAGCAACGTTATTTAATTAAATAATTTTTAATCGTTGCTAAAAACAACTTTAATTTAATTTAAGACCTAGCTATTTAAAATTGTTTAAATACATTTTACCGGGTAGTTGTTAATTTTAATGCAGGTCTCATATAATTATTTCAGTAGTTAAGATATCTTCAATAAAAATCGCCTTTTATAGCAACCTTTAACAGTCTTTTTCATATACTCCAATATATAAAAACTACTAGAAACAACAGTAATTTATGTAAATCTTGTACCCTTTTCTACTATTTAAGTAGAACAAGAACAAAGCTAATAAAAATTCAGAAACACTCCAGATCATAAAGAAATTAACATAACTTTTCTTATTAAAGTTTGTAAACTTTTTGTATATTTTAATTTATTGAACGTGAATTAACAAACAGAGGTAACAAATTAAGATGTTATCAAAAAATGATACTATAGACTATAAATATTTTAAACTCCTATATACTTCTAGAGTCCAATTATAGAATGTACACTTTTAAAAACTATTACATAATCCATACAGAAAAAGTTGCATTTAAAAAATTTTTATATAAAAATAATATTTGTCCACCTTAGGGGTGTCTATTCTTCAAAGAAAAAAAAGATTAACTTCAAGTCAATCTTAATTAGAAATTGTAGCTGTAGTTGAAAAACAGATAACTTATACTTAAGGTCTGAATCCTTTTTTCAAGAAGTCTTCATAAAAAGATTTATTGTAAAAAGTATCATAGATTGGCGAAGTCTGGTTGGCAGTATTCATTTAAAAAAAATCTCCGAGTGTGAACTTCTTTCATTGTATTTTATTATATATAATGCGATTAAGCCCTAAAACAGTGCATGCATGAATTATTTAGTTTAACAAATTCTGTCCACGCAGAAGACTCTTTGGGGTAGTTGAAAAGTTATAAGAAAGCGAATGACTGTTTGTCTTTAAAGAATTCCTCTCTTTTTATACTTATTCCTGCCGTCTTTAAGTTTTTATATGTCGTTCGGGGTAACTGGGCCTAATAGAAGTTCAACTAGCTTTTGATATTTTAAAGTATTTAAGGCTTAGTTGTAGAGAGAATATGGTAGAAATCTCTGTGCACAATGTATATTGCATACTTAATTCAATTTAAAAGAGGCAGTTCAAAATAAAGGTTAAAAAGTTTTTTTTTTATTACTTTTTTTTAAGTCTTAAGTAAGACATTTCAGTAGATTATTATAATGAGCAACAGAACAAAATTATAAAGTTATTAGCTTTTAATTAATACTAACTTTCCTGACTTTTTTCACTGGTACGTTACTGATAGACACGTTTACTGTCTTCGACTTGTATTTAAAACAAAAAAAGTAAAAAGGAAGCAATAAATACAGTTTAAGCTTTTTGCCTTTTGAATACTTCTAGCTTTAAACTAAGAAGGTTGTTATCCTTTTTATAATAGCTGAGCTACTAATCGGTTTATGTATACATAATGAGTATTTAAAGCAATACTTTTATATTTTTAATTAATTTATTTTTAAGGTTTTACTTTCAGCTTTAAAGTAATAAGTTAATATATGGATACTACTTATATTTTTCATAAGTTAATATCGTTGGGTTTTAAAGGAGAATCTTTAATATAACCAAGGAAATATTTAAAAACAGTTAGAATTTATATCAAAGAATACCTTTTTATTACATAAATATTTTTTTTAATACACAGAAATGGTTTTCTCACGCTTAGGTTGAATTCGTAGTACTTTTATATATATATAGTAATATGGAAAATGAAGTACAACGTGGTGCGAGAAATATTGACACAACAATTATATATTAATTTTCTTTTAAACTATTCCTCAAAAAAAAAATTATAAACGATAAAACAATTATGAAGAAGTCCAAAAATCTAAATTAAGTTAAACTTTTTTATTTACTGAAACGGTAGCGCTTGTCACAAGGAATCAATCGCTTTCATACGAAGTTTTTAAGTACTTACTGTTCTTCAAGTAAATTTTATAGAATGCACGAAAATCAAAGATCAATAAACGTTCCTCGAGGAGTTGAAGAACGTTATCAGTCACTTCAGTTTCTTGGGGAAGGTAATAATTTTTTTTTTCTTCGGGATTCTAAGCGAAATTCACCAAAATTTGTTGTCTAAATTAATTCCGATCATTTAGGAACTTTTGGAGATGTTTACAAGGCGAAAGATCTCGTTGACAATCAAATTTATGCTATTAAAAAAATAAAAGTAGAGCAGGGAAACAGATTTGGTTTAGATATCTCTGCTTTGCGGGAAATAAGGTTGCTGGCCGAACTTCATCATGAAAATATACTCGGGGTATCATTTAAAAAGAATTCTATTATGATTAAAGCAAAGTTTTCTTTTTTTCTATATGTACTTAAATTTTTTTTTTATAAAAAAGCTGATTGACGTATTTAGCCATAGCAAATCTACTCCAGCCGTTAGTCTTGTACTTGAACTAATGGAAAGTGATCTAAAAAAGATTATAGACAAGTAAGGAGAGTCAGTATTTATATTTTAGCTTTTTAATAATTTATTTTCTGTAGTCCTTATATAACTTTGAGCGGCGGTGATATAAAATCTTTTATGCTTCAATCTCTTCTTGGTTTAGAATATCTGCACTCAAGATGGATCTTACACAGAGTTTCACTTTAAATTTGCTAAGCTTTAGAAATTAATTATTTTTTCATTTGGAGAGGGTTTGTTTATAGTAGACTTTGTGATCGCTATAATTTGCGTAACTTACTAAAGATTTCTGTGTTTTATAATTAATTGTAATTTGAGAAGTAAATTTAAGTTTTTATAATAAAGTTATTAATTTTTTTAATAAAAAATTAATAGCCTCGTTTCTAACTAATTTTTTATTTGCAGAATTATGAAATTATTTGTTTATTTTAAACTTTTCTTAATAAAATAACTTGTTAGCTTAATTTTTAACTATAAGGTTCATGTAATCCCTTAAGACTTTTATTTAAAGCAATACTTTCCAAAAGTTAAATTAATAAATTTTTCAAAGATTTTTTTAATGTTTTAAGTAAGTCTTAACTTTAAATTTAATAATTTTATAGATGTGTTTAATATAAATATTTATTAATAAAGTAAATCCTTTTATTTTTAATTTTTTGCTATAGGTTTTTTAAAATCTCTTCTTTTGTATTTTGTCAAAATTTAATATTTTAAATAACTTTTCTTATTACTTGATAGAATTCAGTTTTCTTTTAAAATATTATTGTTATTTTTAAATTAAGTTTAAATTATTTAAATTTTAGAAGTTTATCTAAATCAAAAACTGAAATCTCATTCTTTTTTAACTTTTTTTTATTAAAGTTTATACATACCTCGAAAATCTGAAATCCTTTTTTCTGTAGATTTTTTTGTGTTCCAGTTGGAGCTTAAATTATAACTAAATTTTTAAAAATTATATACAAATCTCAATAGGATTTGAAACCTGATAATCTCCTCGTGAGTAGTAAAGGTATTTTAAAACTTGCTGATTTTGGGCTTGCCAGAGTCTTTGGGACGTTAGAAGGTCACTATTCTCCAAACGTCGTTACAAGGTTTATTGCATTATTTTAATTATAATTAAAAAGAAATATTTAAGTAAATAACTAATAAATTTTCAAAATAATTAATTTCTATCTCGAAGTTATGTCGTTTAATGCACAATTTTAATTTAATTTCTAAATAATAATAATTTAATAAACAATAGAAAATATTTACTAAAAGAATAAGTATCGAACAAAATTTAATAAACGAGTAATAATAATACTGAATGAAAGTTTTTTGTGTTTCTAATTTAAAATCCAAATTTTAGATATCCGGATTTTTGATTATAATTAAAGAAATATATAAAAATTTATAACCAAAGAAATAAGTATTAATAAATTTTTGAAATGGTTAATAATAATACTGTAAAAATGTATTGCAATATCTTTACAATCTGATTCATCTTTAAAGGTTTCTGATTTAATAATTGTAATATAAAAACCTTAAAAAAAAAGTGTAAGTAAAAAAATGAAAATTAAACAAAATTTCATAATAAAATTATAAGAAAAGTAACTAAAAGCATTAACAAATTCCAAATTAATTTTTTTAGTTCGCGTTTTTGTGTTTAAAGATTTATTCATCAAATTTAAAAAAAATTAATTTTTTTTTTCAATTTTTTTTTAGTGCGTATTTTCATATTTTAATTTATTAATTACTTTAATTACTATTTATTTTTAGTAAAATCTTTTTTATTATTATTATTTTCAAGAAAAACAAACTTTTAAATCCTTTTTAAATTTTAAATTTTAATTCTGGTTGCGCAATTTCTTTATTTTATTCTTATATCTATTTAACTTATAGATATATTTAATTTTTATTTTTGTTTTTTATAAAGTCTATTATTATTTGTAAATAAAGCATAAACTTTTCCAATATATTAAATTTAATTTAAGTACTTATTTATATACTATTATACTTTTGCTTTAAAAACATTCCTTATTTTGTTTTTTACTGTTAGTTATTATTTAATACTGTAAAAATAAATTATATTATAAAATATAATAGTAAATTTAACAATAAAAAATACAAAAATTACTAATTTTCAATAATAAATTAACTATTTATAACCTTTTTTAATAACATATTTTTACTTTAAAGAGTTGTACGCGTTTAACAACTTCCAGAGAATTATACTACATTATTTTTACTAAAAGAGACTTTTAATATATTGTTTGCTTATTATTAATAATAATAGTAAGAAAACTCTTTATAGATTTTTACGATTTAAAAGGGTTTATTTTTACGTGTAGTTTAAATTTTATATATATACTTTTGGGTATTATTAATTTTTTGATAGGAAGTAAATTTTTATATTTTTTTATATTTTTTGTGAATTTACTTATGAATTTTAGTGAAAAATTTCAGAAAGTTACAATATATAAATTTTATTTTTTATTATTTATAATATAAACTTCTTTTTTAACTTATTAAAAAGTTTATTAAATATTATTTTGCTTACACGAAATCTTGTTATAAACTTTTAAAAACTTTTAAACTTTTATTTTTATAAAATTTTATATAAAAACTTTTTTATCCCATATTTTGTTACTTACAAATTAGTACTTAATAAATTTTTAAAAACAATCAACTCTTTTATTATTTATAATAAAAATATTCTTTTAACTTTTTGAAAATTTAAAAACTTTTATTAAAATTTAACGTACAAAAAATCTCGTTATAAACTTGTAAAAACTTTTAACTCTTATTTTTTTGTTAAATATTATTATTACTTACAAAAATTGTTATAAACTTTAAAAACTTTCTTTTTTTTAATATTTTATTAGTAAAAATATTTTATAAATTTTTCAAAGTTCTTTTATAAAAAATTTATTATTATATTCGTGCTTGTAAACTTTTAACTTTTATTTCTTAAAATTATTAAAAGCCTTTTTATTATTATTAAATATTTTTATTCATTATTTTTATTAGCGTTTTCAAAATTTATCCATTTTATTATTATTATTTTGGCGTTGCTTATATATGATATTTTTATATTTTCCGATTATAAGCTTATTTTATTTTATAATTATTATCATTTATTTTTTATACTTTTCAATAAAGTTTTAACATAATTTATATACTTTAATAAAATTTTCTTTCTCTATTATAATTATTTATTTATTTCTTCATACTTTTTAAATTTTTTTTTTTATAAATATATTATTTACTTTTATTATCTTTCCTTATTAATTGGATATTAACACCTTTTTACGTTATAAATTATATAAACTTTTTATTTTACTTGCATTTTTAGTGAAGTTTTTGTGCGTAAAACATTTTTTTATATTATTTTATATTTTATTTTTTATATACTTGATAAAGTTTTTAAACCTTTTTATTTTTTATATTCATTTTTATGTAAACCTTTTTTTTTGTGGTTGTTGTATTTTTATTTATTTATTATTTCATAATATTTAATGAAGTTTTTCAAGGTTTATTATTTCTTATATTTATATTTTTTGGCTTTGTTTTTTTTTTATTATTTAATTATTTTACTTGTTAATAAAGTTTTTCAAGTTTATTATATTTTTTTATTTTTTATACTTTATAATAACTTTTTTATTTATTATTCTTATATTTTTCTTTCATTAAACTTTTTTATTTTCTATAAATTTTTATTATATACTTTATAATGAAGTTTGTTAAACTTTAAAATTGTTTTTATTATTTTCAATATATTAAACATTTGTTTTATTTTTTTATAATTATAATGAAGTTTTAAACTTTTTTATATTTCTTATATATTTTTTAGTAAAATAATTAATATTTTAAATACTTTTAGGTGGTATAGAGCGCCTGAACTGTGTTTCAAAGCGGATATTTATGGGACGGGCGTCGATATTTGGTCGCTTGGATGTGTTTTTTATGAGGTAACTCTCAAGTACTTCATTTTTTTATATATAATAAATCTTTTTCTATATATATTATATAGAAAAAAAGTTCCGATATACTTTTAATGCTTTACCTTGTTATAGTTGCCACTGATAAGATTAAAGAAAGATTTTTTTTAATAATAAATTAGACAAAAAATTAAATACGAACACTTTTATTTTATTAATAAGTAATTATTTATATGTGAGATTGTATTAATGGAAGTAACTATTTATACATAATAAGCAAACTTTTTAAAAGAAAAATATATAAATAGTTTTTATTTTCTTGTTTATGCTCATTATTTTCATTTTTTTTTAATATTTTCTATATTTTTATAAAACATACTTAAAAAATATATAAGATAAGATAATGAGAATTAATTACAATAATAGTAAGTAAAGTAGAAATATATAAAGAATTTTATCTAGATACAATTAAAAAAAATAGTGCAAATATGTATAAAATACGTAATATAACTTTTTTTATATGTATAATAAAAGTTAGAATCAAAAAAATAAGAATACTTTTATCAATAATTGTTTCCTTTTTTAAATATAATAATAATACAACTTTTTATTTTTATAATAAAAGTCATAGATCTTATAAATACTTTATTATATAATATATTATGAATTATCTATAATGAAAATATATTAATGATACAGCTTTTTTAATATTTCTATAATGAGAGTTAATAACCTTCACTTATTAAAATATATGTATTCAAGAATATATAATAAAAATAATACAACTCTATATTGCTATAATAAAAGTTAAAAATTTTTACTTATGAATACTTTTTTCGAAAAATATATTACAACTATTTATTTCTATAATGAAAGTTATAAATATTTACTTATGAATACTTTTTCTTAAATATGTATATATAGAAGTATATATAAAAATAATACAATTTTTTTTTTAATGAATGATAACAATTTTTACTTAAAAATATTTTTTTCTAAAAATTTTTATATTGAAATATAAAATAAAATAAAGCAACTTTTTATTCATAAGTAAAAGTAAAATAAAAATAGAAATATTTATTTCATACAATTTATAATAAATATTTAGATTAATACAAGTTGAAAACAACAACAATGGGAATAATTTTATAATATAATATTGATAATAATAATAAAAATATAATTTTCATATACATTTGCAAAGTAATAGTACAATTTTTTGATGTATAGCACAAAAAAATATTTATACTTTTTTTTATTACAATTTTCATAAAAATATATAATAATTTTTTTTTTTATAAAAAATAATAAAAATAACAAACTTTTAAATTCTCTAATAAAAGTTAATAATAATACAATTAAATATATAATATTAACTGTTTACATATATTTAAATATAATAATAAGAAATAATAATAGGGTATATAAAATAGTAAAGAAAAATTTATTATAACACTTTAAAAAGTTAATAATAAAATATTATTAATAAAAAGTTATAAATTATAAAAAAAATAATAAAAAATAAAATTAATACAACTTTTTATTTATAATAGCAGAAGTATTAAAACTGTTTTTTTTTAAAAAAATAATTATACTAATACATCTTTGTATTTTTATAATAAAAAATTAGCACTAAAGGAAAGGTTGAATGCTTTATTTATAAATAATCCTTAAAAAATATGATAATAATTATTGTAACTTTTTTTGATAATAATTTCAAGACTTCTCTATAATAAAATAGTAATAAAATTTTATTTTTTTATATAAAAATAAAAGTTAATAATTGTAAAAATATTAATCATTTTTATATTGAATGTATAATAATAATTTTTTTTTATAAATAATAAAAATATTAAATCAACTTTTTATTTATATAATAAATATATCATAATAAAAGTATCATAGCTTATAATTAAAAAAAAATTTATTAAAATATATAAAAATAAGTGTTCTTATATATTTAATAGTACAACTATTTCTTAATAATTAAACTTAAAAATTATAAAAATATGATCTTTTTTTTCATATAAACAAAAAAATAACAATAAATGAAAAATTATTTTATAGAATTAAACATAATAAAACTTTTTTATATTTATAAAAAAAATAATAGTAAAATCAGGAAATAATAATAGTACAACATTTTATTTTTATAATAGAAGTTAAAAATAAGGATAATGTGAAATACTTTATATATATTAATATAATAACATACAAAAAGTAATAGTACAACTTTTACTTATATAATGAAGATTGATTTTTATTAATAAAAATATTTTTTATATATATTTGAAAAGTTAAAATAGTTTTTATATATTTAATAAATAGATTTTACTACAACTTTTACTTTATATGATAAAGGGGATTATTACTTATAAAAATATATTTTATATATATATAAAAAGTTGATAAAACGTCAGCCGCTGTTTCCTAGTGATTCTGAAATCGGACAGCTGAAAAAAATTTTCGATGTTGTGGGTTTTCCCGATGAAAATGCTTGGCCTGTTTGTTATATAATAATAATAATAATTTTTTAACTAATAAAAAATAATAGTATAAATAAAAAACAGAAAATAATAAATAAACTAAAATAATAATGATAACTCTTATTATATTTTTTAATAAATATTTTTTAAGGTTATTAATTTATAATAAATGTTCCAAAGTTATTTATAAGTTCGTAAAAACTTTATATATTTACTATTTTCTAATAATCGTTTTTTACTTTATTCTTTACTAAAATATTATATATGAAAAAAGTATAACATGAATTATTACTAAGATCATAAATTTAAACTTATTATTACGATATTATTTTCATATACATTCATACAAATTTTTTTATATTTATAAAAAATATAATATAAAAAGTTATAGAATATATAATAAAACTTTGTATACTATTATCAACTTTGGGATCTATAATAAATAATTATAATAAGTGTAATACTTATGAAAATTATAAAAAATATATAATATAACCGAAACGTTAATAAAAAAAAATTATCGTTTACTATTCATAAATTGTTATTGAAGAAGTTTAATTTTTAATACATTTTTTTTTTCACAAATTCTTGAAAAATAAAATTTAAAAATGGTTGAGTTTTTATATAAATTCAACTCTTTTTGTTTAATTTTTTTTATAATTATATAAAAGTTTAAAAAGTATTTATAAAAATGATTTTTATTATTTTATTCTAACTTTTTTATAAAATATATATTAATTCAATACTTTTTTTGTTTAACTTATAAATTTTATAAAAGCTTAATAATATATATAAAAATATATATATTTTATTTTATTTTAATCTTTCTATAAATTATTTATAATTTAATTAAAAGATAATAAATAGTGTTATTTGATTATAAAGTTAAATTATTTACTTTTATTAACTTTCCTTATAATAAAAAACTTTTTTATAGGGAGTCTCCATTTTGTTCAAGCGAACCGAAAAAGAATATAAAAACTTAACTAAAAATAACTTTTTTTATACATTTGGTAGACCTATAATCATTTATTAATAAGTTTTTGAAAAAGTAAAAATATTATTTAATATGCACAAAGAAATAAAAAGTTTTGTTTATTAATAAAATAAAACTGAAATATAATGAATTTATAGAAAAAATTCTTGTAAAATTTAAAATTATTTTAAAAAAAGTTTATTTTTGAATAATTAAAACTTCATAGAAAAGAACTTTTTAGTATATTTATTTATCAGTTCTTTTAAAATTTATATATTTTTTTTAAGAAAATACTGAAAAGTTATATTTTTTTATAAATAAAACATTAAAAGAAAATGAACTTTTTATTTTACTTATTTGTCACTTCTTGCAAAATTTAATATATTATTAATAAAACCGAAATGTAATAAAGTTTTCCTTTTATTTATCTAAAAGCTCATGCAAAGCCAAACTATTTATTATTTTAAAAACATGACAGTTTAGTTTTTAGTAATAAAACTGTTAACTTTTTTTAAATTTATTAAAATTTTATTTTATTTATTAGTTAGGTCTTGTGAAAGTAAAAATATATTTTATTATAATAATAATTATAAAAGTTTATTTATAATAATAAAAAGAAAAAAAATTATATAACCTATATAATATATAAATAAGTTCTTGCAAAGTTAAATATTTTCAGTATAAAAACATTACTCCGTTATTTTTAAAAAAACTAAAATATAGTAAATTATATGAAAAGTTTGAAATATAAAAGTTTAGTTTTTCTCAATAATACTACTGAAGTGCAATTAATACTAGAAAAAGTTTTTAAGAATTTGGTGGCATTTTTTTAAGCTTTTTATTAAAATAAAAAAAAAGTTTTTAGTAATAAAAAAAATAAAAAACTTGAAAGTTAACAAGAATTTGATATTTTTTATTCTTGATTAATTATATATATTTTTTAGAATATAATATAATTATAATATTTATATGTTTAGTGGTAATATTATAAACTTTAAATAAATAAATACTGCATAAATATTTTTTCTATTAATTTATATGTTTATTATATAATTTTTTTATATATAATTTTTAATATATATAATATAATTTTTAGTAGTTATTTTAATTATATAGTATTTATAAACTGCCAAAAAATAAGCATAAAGATTTTTTTCTTTATTATTGTATATAAAAAAAAGTTTTAAAAATAGTTAAAATAAGAAAGTTAAAAAGTTTACAATTATTTAATATTTTTGATTCTTATATTATTTTATATATAATTTTTAATATAAATACAATAAAAACTTTAAATAGTAAATAATAAATAATTTTTTTCTTTATTGTTTTATATTGAATATAAAATATAAAAAACAGTTTTTATATTTTTAAATAATTTTTAAAGTTCTAGATTATATTTATGTATTCTAATAAAAGGTAAAGAGTCAATTATATTAATAACTTCTGATATTTAATAAAATAATAACAAGTAATAATTATAAAAAAATGTTTAAAAAAAAATAAAGTAAAATAATAATTATTATAATTAATTACGAACGATTAATTAATAACGAAAATTTATTAAAACCTTGAAGTTATTATAAGAAATATTTTTTAAGTATTATAATATAAGCTAAATTTTTACTTTTTAAAAAGTTTACTTTAAGAAAAAAGTAAAAAAGTTATTACATTTAAAAAACTTTTTTATTTTTTTTTTTGTAATTTATTTTCTATACTAAAGAAAAAACCTTTATAATAAATACGAATTACTAAGTAAAAAAAAAAGTTATTATACTGAAAAAAGACTTTTTCTATTTTTTTTTAAATACGAAGAAAAAAAACAATATCTAGTAGTAAAAAATAATAACTATAATTGTTATGAATTATTAAAAGGATATAATAAACTTTTTGTCTTACATTTAATTATAACGGTATCTAAAAACTACTAAAAGTTTTAATAAAGGTTTTAATTATAATTAAAAATACTTTAACGCTTTTATATTTGAAAAACTTTTTTATTATTTTAATAAAAACCAAAAATTTTTGAAAATTATTAAAAGTTTTGTATAAAATATTTTAAAAGTAAAAAAGTTTTATATTGATAAGTAAACTTTATAAAAATATTTATTGTAGTAATTTTTATGTAAACTTATTTTTATTTTTATTTTTTATTAATAGTTTGTTTGTTAAATAATAGTAAAATAAAATTTTACTTAGAAAAAAATTTTACTTTTGATACTTTTATTATTCTTTTCTAAAATTTATTATTATTATTACATGATAAATTACTTTTTTTTAACAAAAGTGAGCGATAATCAATTAATAGAAGGCGCGTCATTTTTTATTAATAAATATTTTTGTTTTTCATCATTACTAGTATATACCGTTATTATTATAATTCTTTTTCCTTTTTTTTCAGTATTTATATATTTTTTTTATTTTTTTATATATTTTTCTGTTTACTTTCTATATAATTTTTTCTTTTTTTTTTTTTTTGTTTTTTATAATTTTAATGACTTTTAAAAATAAATTTTTTTAACTTTAATATGTTATTAATGTTATTTTAATATTTTTTATAATTTTTTTAATCCCTTTTTTTTATATTCAATCTATTTTTATTTTATTATTATTAATTGTTTAAATTATTAAATTATTGTATAAAAAAGAACAACTTTTGGGAGGCGGACAATCCGAACGTACCAGTTTACTCGAAAAAATGTTAAAACTGGACCCAAATAAACGTCCATCGGCCACACAAGTTTAATTGTTTTTTTTTACTCATACAAAAATTTTTACACGTAAAACTTAATGAAAATTTTTCTTATATATGAAGTTAATAATAAATTATAAAAGCTTTATTAGAATAATTATTATGAAACTTATATCAAATACACCAATAAACTAAATAATTAATATTATAAAAATTTATTGATAACTTCGAAAATTGTTAGCATTCATATATCAAATAGGAATACTAATAATAGTTATAATAAAAATTAAATTAATAGTGGTAGCAATAATAATAACTAAATAAACGATTAAGATTTGAGATAATTCTGCACGTGTTACTGGGAGTTTTCAACTTAACAAAAGACCACGCGGTCTTCGCTCATTAATTCAAAGCCTTCAATATGCTTTACACTGTAACAGTTTAATATTTGCCGTAAAATAATTGCTGAAAAAATATTTTAATTTTGTTATTATTATTTTTATCATAAACTTTTTTATTAATTATAAAATTAATAATAATATTGAAAAGTGTTATAATTACTTATTATTATATATTATATTTATTAAAAATTCAAATATTATATATTAATTATAAAACTATGAACTTTTAAAAATTTATTTAATGTACTATTATTTTCATCTTTAAAAAAAAAAAACTTGATATTATATTTAATATAAAAAATATAATGACAAGAAAAAATGTAAACTAAAAATTTTTATAATCTAAAACATTATAAAACTTTTTAAAATATTTTAATTTTTATTATAAAATTTAGGGGATAAAAACTTTTATTTTACTATTAAACTTATTAAAAAAACAAATAAAAAAATTTATTTAATCAAAGAAAACTTTTTGCAAAAAATTTTTTTTTCCTATAGTTTTAAAATATAAAAAAATTCAAAAAGTTTTATGACAAGTAAAATAAAAAAAGCAATTTTTTAACACCAAAAATAAAATATATTAGTATTATCAAAAGTTATTATTATTTTTATTCATTAATAGACAAAATACGTGTCACCTTTTTGAATGTTCCTTTATATAATTTATAAAAAATAAACGATCATACCTTTTCCAATATTTTGGTTTTTTTATTAACAAGTAAAAATAAAACGAAATTTTAATTATTCCAGTTTATTAATAATTTTTTTATTGCTATTATTATTTTTAATATATATATATATGGCATATAAAATTCATTATTTTTAGTGCCTGCAAGACGCTTATTTTAGCAACGCGCCTGCGCCAACGCCCCCCCAATACTTGCCAGGTAGTACTTTTTATATAAATATTTTTCTTTTTTTATTAATATTTTTTTAAATAGGAACGAATGAAACAATGAACGATGAATTTTTAGAGAAAAGTTATAAACAACTTTTGTGAGTTTTTTATTTAGAATAAAAGTTGGCGTAAAAATTACAAAAGACAAAAAGATTTAAGCGGGCCCAGTAAAAACTAGCTTGGTATTTTTTTTTATAGATCGCCTAAAGATAGCCATTCTCGTTGCAGTTTGTTATTGAACTTTTTATTACGATTTTTTTATTGTGAAATAAAAATTCTAAAAAGTACAAAAGAAAGACAAAAGAAACTAAAGCGGGCCTCATAAAAACTATTTGGGTTTTTTAATAATCTTAAAAATTGTAACCGCTCTCGTTGGTGTGGTTATTATGAAATTTTTATAATGAATCTTTTTTTTATGAATTTTAAAAAAATTTTTAATAATAAACTAATAATGAATAATATGTGGAAGATATGAAGGCAATGAATTAAAGAAAGAAGCAAACGTAGATATGAAACGCTTCAAAGAAAGTTTATGAATAAAATAACTCAACATAAATATTTGAAAAATAAACTTTTTTAATTATAGTAACCATTTATAATTATAATACTCATATTTTTTCAAAAAACAGTTTTACAGTTTTCGGTATAATACAGAATTTTTAGCATATAGCTAAGTCAAACTTTATTTATTCGTTAAAAAACCACCCATTTTTATTAAATGTAACAAATTATAATATATATGAAGCAGATATGTCAGAATAAATTCAATAAAGTTTATTCAATCCAAAAAACTAAAAGAAAAGGCGCGCAACTTATATAATTTCGCATTCTAGATTGTTTTATTTGCAATGTCGTTGGTTACTTAAACTTCGGCTTCTACTAAATACAGACTACTATTTAGACTCAAAATACATTGTCACTGGTCATTTGACTTTTTCGAACTTTTATAGTCTAACACCAACTTTTAAATTTTATTTGCAATGTCATTGGTTACTCAAACTTCGACTTCTTCAGAGCTTTAATGATGCTCTATACAAAGAAAATACACTTGCCACTACTTTTGACGCAAAGTTGAGTGATGCACGCTCAAAAGAGAAGGCATTTGAGGAGCCCAATAAATATTATATGAAAATAATTTAGTTTGACTACTTTCATAATATATTGTACCGTTATTATTATTATTATTGTGTTGAACTAAAAGAGGATACGATAAATAACAATCCAAATAAAAAATCCATAACTTCGAAGGAGGATGGCTAAACGGTTTAAAACCATAAAGTTCAAAGCTATAATTATTGCTATTATTATTTATAATACGAGAAAAGTGAACTACGAATCGACTATCCCAATAAAGTTTCACATTTTCACTTCCCTTAAAATAAAAAGTCTTTACAAATATTTTTTTCGCATGCGCACTAAACTTTTCTTGTAGAGGACTTTGCAAAATAACTTCCGTTTCTTTACCGTTTGAATTTGTTTTGGTAAAAACAAGAACTTTCTGGTCGGGGTTCTTTTTACTTTGCTCTCCAGTTTTAAGTTTTTGTAAAAATACTAATGACATACGGGCGGATGAAAACTCCTTATAGCAATAAAAAATAAGAAGTTAAACTTTTTCATTATAAAAAATAAAGCAAAGCACCACAACTTTCAGTTTCTCACTAAAAAGTTTTTTAGCTGCAAGTCGTAGAAGATACAAAGGGGAACTCCCGCCTACAAAGCGGACGCATCGACCTGGGTCACAACAAAAATATAAATAAATAAATAAACCAATGAAAAAGATGAAACAAAAATAAGCAGGCCAATGAAAAAACCCAAGAGACGAGAAGAAACCAATAAAGGCAAGTTTTTCAATTCGTCCAGTCCGTTAAGTACTACAAATCCAAACTGATCGTTAATTAAGGCGTGCTTCATAAAAAATTTGTCCACTAAATTTTTTATTTATAAAAAATATTTGAGATGTTCACTTCGTTATATAGTTATAAAATATATAAAAATATAAAAAAAAAGGCAAAAACTTATGTTACGGTATTCTTTAATAAGAAATATACCAACGGAATTTTAAATTTTTGTAAAAAAGAAAAAATAATGATAAATATTTGTACTTTATTAAGTTTAATTTATATAAATTAAACTGTATTAACTCTTCAATTTAATGTATTTAATAAAAAATTTTATTATAAAAGTAAAATGTTATCATTATATTATTATACTTCTAAAAAAGGGATATTTATTACTGCTCACTTTATAATAATTATCATTAGAAAAGTTTATATATTTATATAAAAAAATTTTTTATAAAGTTAACTTTTTAACGTTTTATATGGCATGAAAAAAGTTACTATTATTTATTTTTTATTTAATAATATATATAATATGTATTTTTATTTTTTAATATTATATAAAATAAAGTTTTCTATTTTATTATATTAATACTATTGAATAATATTAATAAATAGTTTTCAATATAAATTATTATATCCTTTTTTATTTCTCAAATATATAATAAAATTATGAATAAAAGTTTTTCATTACTTTTTTTTTAATATAAATAATTAAATATTAAGGTTTATAATTTCTTATATATATATTTAATATTAATAATAATATTATCATTAAAAAATTCGTGTAATAAAGTTTTTATTGTTTAATATTATTAACAATAATACTATTAATAAAAAGTTTATAAAACCATAAAATTCTATAAATAAAAAGTTCTTGTATCAAAGCTTTGTAATTATTCCCCTTAAAAGTTTATCATAATAAAATTTATGTTATATTTTTTATAATATTAATAACAATACTATGAGTAAAAGAGGCTTATCAAAAAAAGTTTACAGTTTCTTTATATTATACTAAGCCATACAATAAATTTTACCATCTCTTTTTCTTATTATCTTTATATTATTAATAATAATACGGTCATAAAAAGTCCTTATAATAAAGTTTATTTAGTTTCTTTATATTAATATCACTAATGCGAATACTTTAAATAAAAAATTTTTATATTTTTATTTTTATTCTTTATATATATAACTAAATATTGTAAACAGTTCTTGTAGTTTATTTTATTATTTTTATAATATTAGTAATAATGCTATTAATAAATTTATATATTTATTATTTCCTTTTATTATTATGATAATTATTAATAGAAATATTATAATAAAAATTATTTTTTTTTATTTTCTTACATCAATAAAACCTTTGAAAAGAAGTTTATCACTTTTTACAATATAGTTAGTTAAAGTAATACTATTGGTGTAAAGTTTCTGATAATTTTGCTTAACTATTAATATAAAGCATTTATAATAAAATCAATTATTATGTTTATGATTGTAAATAAAAATAATATTTTCGGAAATAAGTTCTTATAATAATACTATATAATAAATAATAATAATTACTAATAAAGTTAATTTTACTTTTTTTTATGGTATTAATAAAAATACTACATAAATAACTTTTTACAATAAAAGTTTTTTTAAAATTTAAAAATATTAATAATATCATTAAAAAAAGTTCTACTAATAAATTTTATTAGAATATTGAAATTTTTAAAATAATATTTAGAAAAGTTTTTATATAAAAAAAGATTTAAAGAAAAATTATTAATATCTTCATATCTTGTATATATATAAATAATATCATTAAAAAGGATTTATATAATAAATTTATTAAACTTTATTAAGTTATACTTTATTATTTTTAATATCATTACAATTATACTAAAAAGTCTTTATAAAAAAATATATTCCCCTCAATTTTTTATTGCAGTAATACTTTTAATAAGGTTTAAATAATAAGTAAAATATATCTCAATGAATTTATTATGTACCTTATCATATTTTTCCTAAACATAATATCGTTATCAGATAATAATAAGTAAAATATAACAAAAGTTTATTAATATTTTTATAAATTTTATAGCAAGAATATTAATACTAATAAAAATATTGTTATTATTATTCTAAGTATTATTATAATACTAATAAAATATTATTTTCTTTCCACTATTATTATATTTATAAATATATATAAAAAGTTAACAATCTTATGTTGATTACTTTTAAATTATCATTTTACTAACATAGTATTAATAAAAAATATATTAAGCAGTATAATTATTATTAATAATATAAGTTTTGAAAATTATTCTAATTAATACTATTATTTAATTAATAAAAAATTATCAAAATAATTTTATTATTTTTTTTTCGATATTATTTAAATAAAATATAAATTTAAAAAAATTATAATTTTATTAGAAATATTACTAAAAAAATTATGTTCTAAAAAAAGTTTACTATAATTTTTTTAATATTTTCATTATCACAACAATTAAAAATATTACTAAAAATTTGTTCTTTACGTAAGTTTTAATATAATAATACAAATAGATAAAAAAGTTTACTAAAAACAAAAAAATATTACTTAAAATTTTTAATTTTTAATATTTAATATAGTAATAAATATATTTATAAAAAAGTTGACTATAATTTTTATTTTCATTACTGTCATAATAAAATAAAACACTATAAAATATTTTTTTCTTAATATATTATAGAATTAAATTATAATAATATAAATATTTATTGATAAAAACATTATACTAATAATGTTATACTTCAAAAAAAAATTGAAAATAAATTTGTTTTTAAATCCTAACACAAATCTTATAAAAAGTTTATTATGAAAACTTAGGGTTACTTTTTTTAAGTGACACTAAAAATGATAATAATAGGTTTCCCTTAGACCTTCACAATCCACATAAAATCGAAATGCATTTGCTTCTTTTATAAATAATAACGCGCGCTTCCTTAAAGATAAGTAGGAAGAATGCCGTGTTATTCTCATGCGAAGTTCATTGCGTTTGCTGCAGTTTGCGTTACGGTTACTAGGATCCTTTTAACAATAAGAATAATAATAATAATAATAATAATAATAATAATAATAATAAAATTTTTATAAGTTTAAACTTTACAAGAAGTTTTTACCTCAATCCACGTGAGGCCGTATTTCTCACACGTTTTATACATCTGCAGCTTTTATAAATAAAGTTAATAATCAATAATTCACGGACAAAAAGAAAAGAAAAAATTAAAGAGCGAAATACGTAAAAAAATGATTTAAATTAGTTTTGAAATCGTTAAAAAATAGGAAAAATTAATATATTATCAAATATATATAATATAATATAATAAACTCTACACTATTTAAAATAAAAATTATTATACATCATAATAATATCAATAAAAAAATAATTATAATAATAAATACCGGATAACAAGTTATATTGTATTTCTATTCCAATATAAGCGAATATTTCTAAGGCAAAAGATAAACCACGTGGTAAGTCACGTGGTTTAAAGCAGATAGAAGTTAGCCATGTTATTTAGTGGCACAAGGTATAATATATAATGGCGTATAAGTGCAATTTTTATCAAGTTTTTGGTTCCTTAAAACACTTAAAAATCCGGTTTTAAAGGTATTTGGTATTCAATAAAATTTAAATCATCCGTTAATCGGATGTGATAAAGGAGAAACGCTCACGAGAAATAATACCATAAAAATTATCTTATTAGATACCTTATACACTTAGTGTGCCGGTTTAAAAGGTATTGGTATTAAAAATTTTATTCATACGCTATACCACCCAATTGGGTTTAACCAAATTGATATAACCCAAAAATAATTTAATTTAGATATAAGTTGAGTTTTGGTAAATGAAAACACTTAAAGTGCCGGTTTAAAAGTGTATGGTATGAACTAATTTAATCTTTTTTCGTTTAAAAAAAACACCCATTAAGTTTAGGAAAAAATTTATATATAACAAAATAATGTAAATTTAGTTAAAAGTAAACGCATTACTAATAAAAATTTTTAAACAGAATTTTTTACTTCTTTATATTTGCATAGAAATATATTTCATATTTTTTTATTTACTTATAACATAAAATAGAAATTTATAAAACCAAAAGAAAAAATAATATAAACAAGCCAAAACTAATAAAACTAAAAGTACTTATTAAATATTTATATTTAATCTTTTTTTTTCAAACTTAACAAATTGATAATAAATATATTTTCTATTTATAAAAACTTTGTAAATGGTACTTTTGTATATGGGAGCAACGGTCGGTACAAGATTGAAGCAAAGTTTTTTTCCCCCCAACTGTTTATAAACCGTTTTTCTTAATAAAATAAAGAAATAAGCTTAAAAAATAATAGTGATATAGCAAAAATATTCAGTAAAAGTTTTTATTAATGGAGAAAATAAGCTAAAAAGTGGTATAATAAGTTTTATACTTTTACCATTTAAATTTCTTTTAAAAGTTTTTATAAATAATACGATTATTGTGCTTCCCGTTATATAAAGTTTAATTTCCTTCAATAATATTTATAAAAGTATACTTCTAACAATAACAAGGATATTAAGTTCATTTTATATAATACTAGTAATAATATTATAAAAAAAAAGTTTTCTTTTATAATAAGAGATAAAAATATTGAAAAATATTCTAATAAAATAGTTAAAACATATTTATAAATAAGCTTCCCATTAAAAAAAAATTATATTTTTTAAAAGTTATTATAAAGTAAAAGCAATAAAGTAAAAAAATAAATTTAATAAAAAAATTAAGCTTCCCATTAATATTTAATAATAATCAACTTTTTTAATTTTTTAAGATTAAGTTATTTTTAAATACTCTTTTATATATATATAAAAAAAATAATTCGTTATATCGTACACTTTTAATAACTCCGCATATTTTGGAGAAGAAAAAATATACAATTCAGATAAGATTATTTTGAATAATATTATTAATCAGCAGTTTTATAAGCTCTGAAAGAATCATAAAATTATAAATAATGCCAAAAAAATATATAATTAATAAAAATATAAAACAAAGAAAAAATTTAATAATTTAAATTAAATGATATCAATGTTTCTAAAAGAAAATTACTTTTGTGCTTTACCAAAAGTATAGTAATTGCTTAAGAAATAACCAAAAAATTCGTAACTTATAAACTCATTTTTTTTTTAAACAATATAAATTCTTTAAAAAAATGCTTTTCTGCATCTAAAATAAATTAACTTCTATAATTATACACAAAAATTATTTTTGTAAAAAAAAATTTCAAAATAAAGTAGAAATTTTAAATAACTAAGTTATAAAATTTATCATATTTGAATAATTAAAAGACTGATGCCGATTAAATTTTATTAGCTGTTACTAATTTAAATGAAATAATAAGTTAACAAAATTAAAAAAAAAATAAATTCAAAGTGTTATAATAAAAAGTTGAAAATTTTTTAAGAAAAAAAAAAACACTAAAATTCAAGAACCTTGCATACATGAAAGCCCATATAAACTACTTCCCTTACTGTAACGCAATAAAAGAGTTTCGACCTTAATAAAAATTTTTACAAGAATACAAATTTATTGAGTTTTAAAACAATAATAAACTAGTTAGTTTATTTATATATAATAAATATAGGTAAAATTAATATAATTACTAATAATTTCTAAAAAAAAATTACTTGATCGTCGGCTTGATGTGCTACTAATAGGGTTTCTATAGAGTGCTCAGCGCAAAACTGAGACAAAAGATCATATCGCTTATTTCTAGAAAGCTCAGAATTTATTTTTTCTTCGGGTTCCCAGCGACATAGCAAAGTGTAATGCCTCCCACCTCGTAATATTCAAAAAATTAGTTAACTAAAAGTTATTAAAAAAAAATTGAGCACCGTGATAGTTAACAACTTCTTCTAGATATTTAGCCTCTATACAACTTTCAGAACGCAAATTATGGTCTACAGTGACCGCAATAACCTGTTTACGTAAATTTAAAAAGATGACTAGAATAGTTAACCAGAATAAATAAAGTTATTGTAACGTAAGAAGTACTCAACGTGAGAATTTATAAAGCTAAATACCTCAGAAAACCAACCAGAAAGGTAAGAAAGATACCAAAGACAAAGGCTATCTGCTCCTCCGCTTAATGCGACAACTGTATTGTTATAAGTAATTCGTTTATAAATAAATTTTATTCAACTTGTTACATAAAAAATTATAAAAGTATCGACAAAAGGTTGATCAGCAATAACATTTTTAAAATTGTTAGATGTTAGAGGTATAATATTGAACATGAATTTACTATTAAAAAATTTTTTTAATGAATAGCGGCTAGAGAATATAAGAGCCTTTACAAATTGTTAATATCTTAAAACCTATAGGAAAGACGCAAAACTTGACTTCTAAATATTTTTTATTAAACTAAAAAAAAGTTTATAAGTAAAGATAATAGCTATTTTACTTAATAAAAATATAAATAAAGGATTACTTTCGCACAAGGCGACTTCTGATACTATAAATGTACAAATTAATGTAAAACGAAATGTGTTATATATAATTAACAATGGTATACCAGCTGGTGTAGCCGGCCTAATTTTTAAATATTCAAAACGGTTTTTTAAATCGTTAATGCTTACAAATGAAGCTTCAAGAATTTTTGTTTCAACTATATAATTTAGTAAACTTGGATGTTGTAATTTTAAGTTTTCAACGGTTGAAAATAAATGCAGTGACTTCTTATATCTTTCAACAATGGACTGTAATAAAGAAGGTTGAGATAGAGTGTCGGAAATATTTATTTTTTTCTCGAGGTTAAACTTTTCTGATAGGTTGTGACTTATATTAAGTTTTTCAGTAGAATTATTCTCTTGATTTAATATAGGAATGAAACCGGTCATACTGTAATTCAACCTGTAAAATAAAAGTAACTTGCTATACTGTGTAATTGGTCCTAACTTTAAAGTCATTGTGCTAATTTCTTTTAAGTAATAACTTTATTTTTTAAATGAGATTAATGACTTGAAAAACACATAATCATCCTAACAAACACCAAATTGTAAAGAGTAAATACTTTAAAGACACTTTTTCTCACTTAGTGCACTATACGTTTAGAACACGTGACTTCGGGGTAACCGATAGACATAAAAACTAAAGCATTTTTTATTGTTTCATATAAACTTTGTACATCGAAAAATAGATCCATCTATAAACCCAACGACTATCAAAAAGAACTAAAGAAGCTGTAGTTCTTAAAAGATAGAAATATTCTACCTATAACCGCAATAAAATGGCACAAGGCGGTCAATAAATTTTAGGTTTTAGGAACCTTTTTTGTAGTATTTTTCTAAAAAAATACTTTTCTGCTGCGACCTTATATCATAAGCTTTTAAAAGGTGTGACACGGCGGACTTGGAAGCAAACAAACACTAGAGATACCCCGAAAATGATTATCAGTAACATTTTTTGCCAGCTTGAGGACAACTAGCAAGATAAACTTTTTATTACCATTGCGAGCCAATACAGAAAAAACGGTAGGAAAATGCTTAGTTTTTTTAAAAAAACGATTCAAATGAATTAGTTAAATATAATTAATAAGACAAATGCAGAGCGAGTTGTATTTAGAATACTTAGATTTCCGCGGTTCCCTTACCATTTCTGGGATGCGACTACGCGCACTACCAACATGCTTATTTAATATTTTGTCTTAATGCTCTCCCTAATGTTCAATTTAGCATTCGCAAGTGATAGTTTATTGTGCAAGAACTATTAGGAACACGTAACGAAAGGTTTGCACAAAAAACGTCCTATTTATAGAATTTTTGGATTTGAAAATCTTTTGAAAGGATTTGGTACAAGAGTCACTTGTTTGAGAGGATAAATTAAAAGCATGTCAACTACGTTAGTTTAAATTGTTTACTCTTATCGCAAATTCAGAGAAAATCTTAGAGAAGTAAGATAGACTCGGAGAGCCCCAGGGATCTCTTTTATTTCCACTATTGTTTTTAATATACTGGCAGAGCTTCCGCCCTTTAACACTGAGAGCATAGCTTTTAACGTTAAGCGTTAGTTGTAATCATAATTACTAATAGTAATTCAAAGGTAAAGAACAGCTTGCATCAAGCTGTTCTTGACAATAAGAAGCCATTAACTCCTCAGGTTTACTACTCATTTGAAGTTGTTATATGTATAAAATATAAAAAAAGTATATAGTGCTAGGCAGTGATAGCCGTGAGATAGTTACTGCTATTATCAAACCAAAATATTAAAATACGTAATCTCTACTTTTATAAAATGTAATTGGAAGTGGTTCGGTAGAAAAGAACATTTTTTTTTTAGCACTAGCATACCACGGTCGGTCTTCTTGAGGATCTTAAGCTGCTTGAGCTGAATTCTCCTCTTCTGCAGCGGTTGCATCGCGAGCGCCCGCCAGTGTACGCTCTTTAGAGAGCTTTAAACGACTGTCCCGACGGACTGAAAAAGTGGGAAGTATCAGGCTCGGACTCTCGCCATTCGGGCTTGTGTGTTGGAAAACCGCTAAAAACCATCACTGGGAGAGTCAAGCCTAGGGCACAAGACTCGAGAGGTCAACAGGAGACATCGGCCAGCACCATGCCAGCCCGGTCCAGAAAAAGGAGGGGGCCAACAAAGGATTAACTTTTAATTATAACCGCATTTTTCACTGTAATAAGTAAATTCCACGTGATCAAGTGAAACGTAGGGAACAGTGATAATTTATGTGTTAGATGTAATTGAGGCCGTCTGGGGGCACACCTCTGATTAAACATTTTAGGGGTTCATGAGTGTCGCGCTTTTTTTTTTTCTTTTATGGTCTTGTTCTTGTCGGCTCGAGAGCAATTAAATAAATTATACGACTCTTTTTAATTTTTTCACTAATATTATATTTATTCGTGATATAATTTAACGTATTACTCTAAATTTTTTTATAATATATTCGTTCTTGAAATTTCAAGTCTGAAAGATCAATAAAAGGAGAAATATAAATTAGGGTGTTTATAGCATGGGGGTAGTGTTCAAGTGTTCAAGGCTCAAGTGAAATGCGCATGTGATTATATAAGTTTGGCTCGCGTAGCTGCTGCAGTTTTTTTTATTCTTTTTGTTATGCGGCTGGGAGTTTATAATAACCAAATAAATTTATAGTGCTTTCTAGTACTTCGACTTTCTTATACTCTATTATTTTATTGTCTATAATATACTATATATATATATTATATTACTATGCCGTCTATAATACATATGCTCTGGAAGGCTTGCAACCTCTGAAGTGAACACTAGTAAAAATAAAACACGTGCGTGGTTACTGTTTTTCTCCTCTATATTTTCTTCCCTCTTTATTCCATTCTGTCTATTACGTTATAAGCACGTATTTTTCTATGAGCATACGAAATACTACGTCCTTTGTTTCTTGTCTTTTTTATATACATTTGTTTATATTTTACTTTTATATAATATAACTTTTATTGGCATTTCTTAGTTTTTTTTTAAGTTTAATTTATACCATTATATATTTTCACGTTATTTACTGTTATATTAATACTCTCTTCCACGCTTTCATTTATTACTTTTATTTATTATAAACTTTTATTATTCTTTCTCAATTTAATTTTTTTTAATTCAGACTACTATAATATTTACTTTACTTTAATTACTTTCACACCTTTTCTTTAGTTGCATAATATCTTTGATAAGCGCACCCAACAAGCTTGGAAAGGACAATTTCTAAGGGACACCACATTTTCGTCAATGGTTTAAAAACTAGCTTTAATCAATCAGGGAGCCCTTGACCTATTTTTTATAGAAATAAAAGTAGGTGAACCGGGGGTAGTAAGTTCTTCGGAGAGACTGAAGAATTCTGCGCTGGGTATCCAAATATATTTTGAACAGCGTTCATCGCGATGTAAAAAGTAGAATTAAAGAAATTAAAGTTACAGAACCAGAGCGTGCTCTATAGATTGTTAAGGATACCTTTGGAAGAAAGTCACTTGTTACCTTTATGAGCAGAGTGCAAGAACTCTGTATCGCCACGAAAGACCGTGATAAAACAGTTCAACAATTTGCAACTCGACTTAACTATCTTTCAAACGAATTTGAAGAACAGTGTACAATAAAATAATTAATTTTTCACATAAAGAAAATTACTGATCTTGGACAGTATTACAGCAATAACCCTAATTGCTTTGGTTATAAATACACTCTTACTTCTTCAAGACAAGGCATAAAGTTGAAACTGCTTCGAAATGTTCTTCTTTTATTACATTCCAAGAAAATAAATCTAAGCACAAATATTTTGTTGAGTCCCTTCAATTTCATTGCAAGTGACTAGATTGCCACTTGAGATCACAGTGTCCTTTATCAGAGAAATATGCAAATTTTGCTGAAAAATTGGGCATGTTGAAATAGCATGCCTGCTAAAATTCGGACAAAGGTCTGAACAACACATGGTTGTGGACACGGGCCTACCTCCACCTTGTTAAAGACAAAGGGACTAATAAGCCAGTTAACTTACCAAAGAAATATCATTAAACCCATTAACTGACCACTCAAAAGCTTATTTGAGTGGATATTTAATTTGCCTTGCGCACGTTAAAGCCATATATAATAACAACTTTTAATATAACCTATTATCAGTTTGCAAGCTTAACAAAAAGGTTATAATGTTTTCTTTAAAGATAACAGTCTATTAGAAAACAAAATAACATTGTGACTCCGGGAATTTAAAGAGATTGACTGTACATTCTTGACACTGTAAATGCAAATAAAAGTTTTTCCATGTCGGTAACTTATTAATTTGTTGTGACGAATGTTCCAAAGAAAACAATACAGGTTTGGTCACTTTAATCATTACTATATAGAGGAGGTTATCCGAACATTCCTTAATATAAAAACGAAGATTGTGAAGTATGCTTTAACCTGTAGAATAAAGAAAAAGAAAATTAGCTAATTTAGCGAAACCCACGGTTTTCGAAAACTCGGACGATTAATATATATAGACACTTTAACCAGGGATATTACTTCGTACGAGGGATACAATAATGTATTTGTACTGACGCGAAATCGAAACTTATTACAATATTATTTGCAAAAAACTAACAGGAAATTTTAACAATTAAATTAACTGGATTTAGTCTACATAAATTT